AGCTGCTCTACTGCTGGTATCTAAGATTATCTGACAGTTCCATATAAGGCCGCATGTCTTGTAATTTTAGTAAATCGCTTAGAGGCAATATTGAAAGAAACAAAACAGTATAAGGAAGTTTGATATTTAATTAGTGTGAAGGTTATTGAGTTTTCAAGGGTGAGATATCATTTTATTGTATGCATAAATATAGAATTCTTATAAAAAAAAAATGTAACTGCAAATTGTAAACTATGAGTCTAAATGTAAGAGATTATTGATAATCGTCATATATCTATAAATATGCTTACTCAACGCCAAGCAAAGCGTTAACCTTGAAAGTTTCAAAGGTACAGTACCATAAATCATAAATCTGCCAACAATAGAGCACATGACAGAACGCGTAGTAAAAATAGTTTGAAATATTTCACTACGAATGGCCCCGAGTCGGCGCGTGCGCACTCCACGACCGTAGCCAGTCACGACTCGAAGAATCAGATCAATTTTTTATATGGTGACCTTAAAATAACAGAGACAACAATGGAATTTGCTACTTACATCGTTGAAGTGATATTTTAGAGAAAAGTTAAATGAGTACCAATGTTACTTATGTATCAAATGCCTGTACAAAAAAATAAGTAGATTTATCGATAATGACAAAAGTATGTGCTAATAATTATATGTCATTTGTAAGTTATACAGCTCCCCTTGTGTATATAACGAATACATTTATTACATTTAGAAATATTGAACAATCTCAAATGTGAAGTCGAATAAAACACAGAAACACATGCAGCAACTATAACAAAAGGCGAAATTTATTTGTACAAAATAAACACTTTATTACTGAAACATATTACGTTAGATAATCTAAATTAGTACTAACAAGAGATGAATGCGTTTTTATAAAAGAATTCCCACAAGACAATACAAGGTTACCCAGTAATGGGGACCTTAATAACGTTGAATTTTACTTGATAACGAGCGTGGATTTTCTAAGGAGCCGAGATAAAGTTACGCTTCTGTATTATATAACAAGATGAGCCGGTGCATAGTGTAAACAGGTTCGAGATGGACTCGCCTTGGCCGCGGCTAATGCTAGTCGCTATGTGCAAAACCATGACACGATTAGCATTTCTAAGATCCAATGAAAATGTCAGCGAAGCATCGGCATTTATGGTCGCAGCCCTTTAAATACACATTTAAGAATTCTTAGTAATACTCGAGTCATTTTATAGATTCTTTAGTGGTTACATAATGTTTAGAGCTTACATCTTTGTTTATACATAAATTAATAATTTAACCAATTTCTAACGATGCACTGCGGATTTATCTATTAATATTTTGTTATAACGTGAAATGTATAATCCAACTACATTTGTTATACAGCTATTCAAATGCTTTTTACAATTATATCCGTGCTTGTTCATTATCTGCGTTGTGTTGTAAATCATTACTAATGAATTACATTGCGTAAGATGAGTCTTTTTTTAAATTAATAAATGGAGATAGACAATGCATTAATACCATTAATTTCGATGTAAACAAAAGACTGTATATGCAAGACGCTGAGAGCTTATTTAGTAAAGGCTTCGGTAATGAGGCCGTAGATAAATCAGGGCGGCACGCGCGCGATGCGTCTGCGCATCATTAGGGTTACCACACAATAACAGAAATAATTAACGTAATCAATTTAGCTTATCCTCTTGAAATATTTAAAATCATGACATGCGTATAATATTTTATTTAACTATCTTTAGATTTCAAGTTTTTGTTCTAAGAATTTCAATAGTTTAAACCGTAACAACATAATACATAAACAGACCGATAAATTTTATCTTCGTATGTTATTCGTAAAAGTCAATATATTATTGGGATTATTTAAAACTACTTTCAATACAGGGCAATGATCTTACAATAATTAGAAAAATCAAAGTTTTACCTACTTAATTTAGTGGAAACAATTCTCTTTGCATCGTTATATAGGTTATAACTTTTCTTTATTCGAGACAACCCTGACATCGCTAATGATACGGGCGCGCGCACTCCATTACTCTTTCGATCCGGTTACTGCGGTCTTAAACCTCCAGATTAATAATGATAAATGTAAGTTCGTGCCACGCGCCAGTTGGGCGATGATATTCCTAAACTATTTGGACTATAACACGACCTAAGGACGGCGGACATAATGGCACAATTTGTGCTGCTCGACGGTCCCAATGCCACAGTTAACGGCGATTTGTTGCAGTTACGAAAGCTGGCAAATAAGGCGACAAACCCGCTTTACATACGCTCTAGCTATTGATTGACGATTGAACTCATTCTTGTTGCATTGCGCAATTTCACCGTTTATGTCGACTGTGTTACAAGTGCACGGATATTAAGTGCTAGTTAAGAAATACTATGTCTATAACTTATAACTATCGGTCGGTTTGCGGTAGGTTGTAATAAATAAACATAGGTACGTTTTCCGTCGTTCCGCAAACTCAAGGAGATCAATACATGCAATTACTAGCTGCAGGTATATTAGACCTTATTTTCTTGTTGACTTATCTATATAATTATATAAATAACCCCTGAAGAGTGTCAGTTGGATCAATCAAATGAAAATACAATTACTTTTACACGATTCATCAAATAAAGTCAGAATTTTATTTTTCATTTCGATTTAAATCGAGCACAGCGTTTCAATTTGGAAAGCGTAAAATGCAGTTAACGACCACAGTCCACACAGCACATCCTGTTGGTTCAGCTTACAAAAGCCGATGGAAAGTTGTGCTGGGGACCGAGTACTGAATACAAATCGTCAACAATGCATCACTCGGGCGCGTTTCCCAACGTAGCGCGTCTCAGTGAAATGAGACTATAAAGAAAGCTTACGACATATTTGAATTCCGAATCTTAATTTTTTTTTTAAGATTGCAATCGGGGCGTGGTACGCGCGACCACAAGGCTGCCCAGCATTGTTAAAATCGTAAGCGCCGACCACCGTGACACTCCCGAGCCGTTGTTGGTTAATCATTCACGTTTTGTTGACCGCAAAAAAATCGAGCACCTTGTGGCTGCAAGGCCGCTCGCGCTTGCCTTAGTTTTACGTTGCCCATGTCATATAATTACAACAATGATCGCAACGGAACGAAGTGCGCTCCGCGGCAACATTATCGCGAAGGCGAACGTGTTACAAACGAAAGGATGAGTCGGGCAAATGTCAAAGCGTAGCAAAATACCTACTTAGTGCATTTGTGATCGGTATGCAAACAAAATCCTTGCAACGTTAAATGCAATTGACTTTACTGATATACTACTTAACCGGATTAACAGTTATCGATTTCGGAAATTCAAACAGCCGCTTATGCAACCGTTTCTCAATGAGTGCCGCGACCAAACGCCGAAACGATTAAATCAAGGTTATTCATTAGTTTTGATTTACACCTCAACAATTGTTATTAAAAAAAATTTTACAATAGCTTTATGTTAATATATAATAATTTGATCACTTGGAAATAAATAAACTAGAAAATAGACTTAGGTATACTGTAATTAATGCCAACAGCTCTGGTACGACACGAACCAATTTCCACAATAATTCACGATTTTATGAAGGTCGCAAAGCTATAAATTCCTTTAGACTGCACAATCAGTTATTCCCCAAGTGTTATTATATACCCACGGGGTTAATTACAATCAAGTTTCTTGTTACATAAGCGTTTTATAAATGACAACAACGTTATGTTTAACAAAGACAATTTACAGAATATATATAGTATTTTATGACATAAACATATATATGTACATAACATTAGGGAAATTCAATACATTAAAATCCAGGTAAAAATGAAAACTAGCACGTGTTCTATCGTAACTATAAAAACTTTTGAAACCTTTACAGAAATAATTCAGGCAGTTACAAAATTGTAAAGAGCGCATGGGCCTGTTTTATAGCGATGAGTTTTGATATATCTATATATCCAATAAGTATAACAAAAGGTTTTTATATATGTTTATTATATGATTAGCATAAAACAATTTGCTTTCATTTGACTTTAATAAAATAATGAGGCCGTCGGTTGCATAGGAAATTGTATAAAGTAATCTGGTTCACTTAGTGTCCAGCTTACAACAATTACAAGTTGATACAGTTTACCGAAGGCGAAATCGTACTAGTTAGGCGACCGTGCCTTTCACGGGCCCTGGCACGCCCACCAGACCAGCGGCGCCCTCGACTTTCCGTCCCGACGTTTCCACTCCTACTATTAGCCCGCTAGACGCAGCAGCCTCGCGACGCTTTCGCTGCCGAAACACCCCAATTTTCGTCATCGCTTATTATAACATATTTCATTCATACATAAAGCATTTTGTCACTTCCCACCCACAACACTTACAACACTGGCGTATACCGTTTGAAAGAAACACGATTATTCACGCTCAACAGCTGTATTACGGACGTCTTCGTGACTAACCAGAGATTACGTTGCTATGCTCGTGCTGATCGAAATTGAAAAAATACCTTATTATTGTTTCAAAACTGTAGATTTATACGCGGCTAGTTCCCAACTCGGCTAATGAACATTCTATTTAAGGCAAACTCGGTGAACAATAATCAAAATCGGTGAACAATAAGGCCCCTGCGGATAAAACTAGAATACGAAGACACTTAAATTAAGCATGACAGTTCGATTTTTTCGTATTTAGGCTTCGCGGCCTTCCTGTCGCGCGGGCATTATTCGCCATTCAATTTCCAATTAAACGCTTGATTCTCAATGCCAGCGGGTCGGAGGTGGTCGCTGTGTAAAACTTGATAAAAGGCGGGTGGTGGCACGCGGCACGCCAGTGTCCAAATCACTGGCCACCGCTTTTGTCTCCATCGCGCCTTTCACTTCGACCGCTCATGTACGACGACGGGGCGCCGTTCGATAATAAAGAAACCCCTACTTAGATAAGTTCGCTGATATATACTTTAGAGTAATAAGGACAGTAATGTTGCAACGTAATTTAATAGATTATGTTTTCTAAACTTTCAGATGGTGAGAGGGGCGGCGTTGGCGCTCGTGATAGCGCTGGCATGGGCGTGCAAGGCGCACGCCAGTGTCCTAGTGCCCACCTACGTGCGGCCGCCTGACTCGTTCGTGCGCGATCAGCGCAGCTTCACCCCGCAAATAGATATTGACGCTGCCGAGTCCCAGCGAACGATCAAGCGTCTTATTGGCGGGCACATGAAAAACAAGGACTACAGCAGCGCAAAGAATTCTATTTCATTAGATGACAAAAGTGAAAGTGGAAAATTCGTGGGCGTGATTGCGCCGGATCAGTCGGGCGGCACCGTGGGATGGAATCAAGGCATTTGGGATGACGGCATGCTCATGTCCAGCGCCGGCGAGGGAAAAGAAGCTGGAAAAGTTAAGGAAGACGAGGAAGATAAAAAGACATTATCCGATCAGGTGGCAGAAGGGAAATATGGTCTTATACAGAATGAAATATTTCCTAAAACTCCAAAGCGACCAGGAATAATTAGTTATGAACCAAATTCAGAGACAAGAACAAAAGACAACCTACAGAGTTTAGGAGGTCTAAAGAAAGACGAAATATGGCTTGCAGAAGACCACCTGCTAGTTTTGAAAGGAGGTTCGTTCCCGGAGCGTACTAAAGAAAGTGATAATAGACCATGGCCACCGATCGACAACTACGAGGCGCCTAGAAGGCAAGTAAAACTACCACAGAAACCCAAAGTGCCTCCGCCCTTTCCGGTACAACTCTCCGACAACGGACCGCTCGTCTTCCTTACGCCAAACGGTAGCGTCCCTGCGGGCTTTTTCCCTCCCTTCCCTGCAGGAGAGGGCGAAAGCCCTCTACCTCCTCCGCCATTCCCATTCCCACCGGGAGCGCCCTACCCCCCGGGTGACTATCAGGGAAACTCTACTGCCGGGGGAGCGCCGCTGCCAATTCCTCCGTTCCCATTCCTACCTGGGAATGCGAGCGAAGGAGCATTCCCCTTCCCACCACCCATGAATGGATCTTTTCCAGAAGGCTTTCCTCCGGGCGCAGTGTTTCTACCACCACCGAGCAACCAGTCAGACCTGTACGACGAAGACGACCCTTCGATTTACTATCCGCCGCCTTACAATTTTTCTTACCGCGCTGACTATAACAACAGCGTACCAGCTGGACCACTAGTTCCTGGTATAATATTACCACCGCCACCAGATTTCTTTGCGCCAATGGAAGAAAAATCGACTACGGAAGAAATTAAAACAACTAGACCACCCACTACTTACTCAAGGCCGAAACCAACTACTAAATCACCTGCTTTAGTAAATCGCCATAAATATAAGACAAGGCCAACAACAAGCACGACCACAACAGAAACTACAAGAACTACCGAAATACCCAGTACAATAACAACGCCGCTTCCAATCGAAATTGTAACAAATCCAAAAATAAGAAAACCTCAACGTATACCATCAAGAGCTCCCGTACGCGTCCAAAATCTTCCAGATGATGTCACACCACGACCAAAAACAGAAAAGCCAATTTACAAAACTAGAACCAAACCTACATCCAAACCATTGTCAGTTTCAGTCATTTATGACTACCCAGAACCTATATATGACACAAAAATACCGACAACATCTGAGAAACCTTATATAATATATAATGTACAGGAAAAGACGCCTAACGTAGTTATTGACGATGTAGTCACATCAACCCCCGTGCCATTGAGAGCATACTACTCAAACACTGAAAATGAAGTGCCCACAACTAAATTACAGCCGGTATATAATCAGAAAGCTAAAGAAAACCCACTGGCTTCTTTCTACTTCTACGACGAACAACCAAAAACGTCACCATCGCCTGCCACATTTTTCGATGGCAGGAATTATTACAAGACAGTGCCAATCAGTCAAACACCATTTACGCAACAAAATGTTAATCCTCAATCTGGTTTCACACCGGCAGTTGATGTTTCATATGGAGCGATCGATCAAGCAGATGCACTATTTTTATGGCCGCAAAAACAAGGACCACGTACGCTCACCCAAGAGTATTTCAGTATACAGAAACCGAGACCTCAAACGGTTTATGTTCAGCAGCCAAAGCAGCGGCCGGATGCATTCTATCAACAAATAGCTGACATTCAACAAACGATAGACTTATTTACGACAAAGAGACCGAAGGCGCATTCGCATAGACCACATAGCCACAAACCTAAGGCTATTACATCGAGACCTGTTTATCAATTCAGCTATCAAAGTAAACCAAGACCAGAACAATTGACTTTCCGTGCACCTAAATTAGATCCAGAACCTTTCAGACCAATGGTGAGTTACAGCAAACCTTTTAACTTTGGAAGCGAATTCAATGGTATAACTCCATCAGTATCACCTGGATACCAACAACAGTACCTAATAGAAAATATAGTTACTACTGAAAATCCAACTGCGACTAGATATTATCCTAAAACGAAATTACATGATCAACATTATAACGATGCACTAATCGGGAAAGATATTCGATCCAAGCCGAATAGAAACCACATACCGATTCAGAACGACAAACCAGCATCAGTTCAAATACAAAACAGACAACCAAGTACCACGGCAAATCCGATCGAAAATGGTTATTACACTAAACAAGACGAGAGATATCTAGACGATATCACAAAAAATTCTTTTGATATTTTTGGCAAAAAAATTGAGGACAACACGCATGATGTGAACGGTTTAGCAGTGACACCACCGCTCAACACTGTCAGGACTCCAATCGACAACAATATAAATCTACAGTACGCGTACGAGGTCGTGGAATCCCAGAGTCCAAACCCACCATCATTGGACAGAGACACACTTGTGAATGAGCGTCTCCCACGTCCACCGATCAACCCGGACAGCGAGCCCGTTATCCAAAGGCATCCGAACGCAGAGTTAGTCCAGCAAAAACCACCATCACTGATAGATGACACGCTAGTGAATGAGCGACTGCCACGGCCGACTGTTAACCCTGATAGTGAGTTTATCCCTATACCGAACCCCGGATACAGAACTGCAGAGCAATACAGAGTTCAAAATCAAGTACAAAGACCGCAGTTCACTGGCGAGCAGTACGACCTTAACAGCCCCGCGTTGGGTGACGACACGGCGGTTAACTACCGAAGACCGCTACCGCCTATCAACCCAGATGCGGAATGGATAACCCCAGTGAACGCGGCAGGCGAAGGCAGACCGGGCTCATTCGTGTCATACCGGCTGCCAGGCGAAGGCGCGCATGTGTACTTCCTGACACCACAAGCTGCGCAGGCAGCACAGGCGGCGCAGGCCCGCCAGAGGTACAGGCCGCCCGGATACGGACGGTGAAACCAAAGCTCTAGTCTGAACAGTGAACGCCGCGTAAGCGACGTGCAGTGTAAATATAAAGCGCAAATGTGATGTTTTAAGTGTCCTAAGTAGTGTAACAAACAAAAGACTAGCGGGCGAGATCCGCATTGCCATAATATTTAAAACACGAGTTTTTTTTTTATTTAATTATAATGTAATGTGTTTTATTGTGCGCTAATGTTCTGGAACATAACGGACGCTCTGTATTTTTGATATACTATTTATTAATTTATTGTTAAGAGACTGTGGTGCATGCATAATGATAGCTAATTTATTTATGTCAGTATTCTCATGAACTGTCTGGGATGATGTGATATGTTATAGTGTGACAATGATTGTGAGCATTGTTATAAAGTTAATAATGAAAACAATTGTTATCTAATTGTTATTTAAACAAAATAATAACAAATCATTGTGATTTTGTATTTTAATAAACGAAGATGAATAATAATGAAACATTAAATTTTGTATAAATTAAATGAGTTTTATTTATTTATTTTGGATCATGTAATTTTTATAATTGCACAAATAATACAATATTATATAACAGACATAGAATACTAAATATTGATAGGATTGATAGTTTCAAAAATAACATGACAACATGTTTGACTTTGGAAAATTACTGATTTCTGTATTGATAAATAAAATTATGAAACCTCTATCTATTTATGATATTTAATATTTATATGGAACAAGAATGTCATAAGAAAATACAAGTCTCTATAATAATATACATAAATATTTATAGCTTCTATTTTATTCTTGATATATTACCATAAATTCCTTACTATTATGGTAACATGTTTGACAGGGATAACGTAAAAATGCGGTCTCTATTATTCAATAAAAACTGCTTCATAAAAAAGCAAACAATAATAAATTGGTATAATTTATAATAGTAATTATATAAACTGCAAACGAATGAGATATCGCTTTAATTATCTTATGTATTATTTGGACCGAATAGAACATTCGCCAGTAGTCAAATTGTCTCAAAAAAAACAATCAATGATAAGTTTGTACAACCCTGAATTATTAATAAATTAAAATATATTCAACACAATTATGAAATTAATTCGGTATGAGAATCAATTGTGAATTCACTTGAAATTATTAAGTTTTTTTTATTTCAATTTTAATAAAATAAAAGAATGATCTATAAATATTAAATGAATCTAGAAAAATGACAAACCTAAATTGAAACTAGGGTGGTACGTCAGAACAGAAGCATTACTGGTCTACAGTATCTACCTACTTTTAAACAAAAGAATAACGTGAGAAGTAAGAATTATAAAGAGATATATAAAGAGTAATAAGAATTAGCTATATGGTCCCAGCATAGAATAGGCCACCCTTTCCTTTCCCATGGGTGTCGTAAGAGTCGACTAAGAGAATTAATAGACGAGGGATGACCAACAGCGGTCCTCTTAAAACATCACCAAAGCCTAACTGCTGTTGCCAATACACCTTCCAAGCGTGGCAACTACTAGCAAAACCTTATATAGAATAAATATAATTCATAAACTATTTAATTACATATTATATTTTATAATTTATTAATTTTATGAGTATATTACATTAATTTGAACGTAACAACAGATATATGACCCGTTGACATGTTATATTACGTTAGATTATATTATAAAACTAGATCATAATTAGACTGTAAAAATAATACGTAACATTACAGTATCATAAATGCAATCAATTAACGACCGGATACGAAGCTGTGGCTTGTTCCATTAGACTGCTGTGACCTTGTGTGAATAGTGAACAATTACTTGAAAACTCTTAGCGGCAATCACTCAGAATAAAACCATACTTCATTGCTTAGCGAAAAATAATTTACATTTGTTAAAAATATATAATTTTTTTTTAATAATAAATGTGAAAGTTAGTTTTCTTTTGATGTTTAGCGTAACGGGTCAACCGATCGGCATAAAATTTTATATATATATTTGAGATGGAAATAGACGTAAGTTATTTCTCATCTCGAAAAATATTAAATTAATAAGATTTATTAATTCATGGTCATGTAAACGAAATAAGATCACAGCTGTTATTAGATGTTATTTTTATCATTGTTATATATTTTTAATCTTATTCCTTTTAATTATACATATGTGTTATTGTACTGATACTTTCCTGAGTAAGCATATTTACCAGGAGACTTTGTACAAAAGTCGATTGCTTGGGTACCTCTGTCCCATTCGTGTTTCAACCGTGAAGCAGTTGTGTTTGCATGGATGTGTTTCGGTTTGAAGGGTGGGATATGACGTGAATTTACTGGGTACAGAGGAATAACACCTGAGTCCTCAGGAATGGCAACGCATGAGGGGTATCATGGGCGAAACAGTATACTCTGTTATGTCCATGGTACTGCTCACGTCTATAGGCGACGATTACCACAAGCAATCGACTTTTGTACAAAGTCTCCACATACTGATAAATAGCAGATTTTTTTATCTGTTACACCTACAGTATTATTCTTATTTCAATTATACAAAGAGAGAGTAATAGAAAATATTATCTAATAACTTGGATATATATAATTATATATATTAATTATATACTGTAATTGGATTTCAGATAAGTATATAGAGAGAGATATAGAAATCAACATTTGATTAAACCTTTATTTGATGAACCGATGGTTTAGCATAGTGTAATCAGAACATGAATATGAGTGTACTTGACCAATTAAGTTTTGGTTAACAGTGAATAGTAAAATCATAATATTTCTCAAAGCAGGAAGAATGAGATGAAATAAATACAATGTACGTTTATAGCTTTCCATGACTCGGTAGATACGACACGAATGCACCATTTACTGGCGTGTGTGTAAATGATCTCTTATGATTTGACCTTGACATATGACTCATTTTTCCAATTTTTCTCTTCAATACAGATTAAATTATTTATTTACCTATATACCACGACACAAAACTACTATTTATACCATTTTTCGTATAGATAAGCTGTTACAATTTAGCAAATGATTCGTGCGATTAACTATCACTTGTCGAGACTGTCGACATTTAGAGATGAGAAAAAAGTACTCACCAGTATCAGGCTCTGTGGTCTGCGGCACGTCCCGTAGAGGCTGCGTATGGAGATGTAAATACACCTGGATGGCGACTCGCGCGCACCGGAAGTAGAACGGATGTGAACGCAGCACGTCCTCCAGTCGCAGCAAGCCAACGTACGACCGCAGCGTCATTTTGCGCATACAATACGAGTGGAAGTCGAACTGGTCCTCCATTATCTCGGAGAAATGCTGAAATGGTATACAATTTGTCTGTAAGTATATTAAATTATGATGGCGAGGTGAAAATACAATTCCACCATTTTTTTTCATCCCTCAAATGACATAATAAGCGAGTGGGAGATCAAAACAAATGCATCAATGCAACAGAAATAAACTACAGCCATATGCCTGGTCAATATAAAAGTGATATATTTAAATGGAAAACATTCTATGATTAACATTTTAGTTCGGTAGCAGAGCACTTTTTAAATAATCAATGAGAAACATTGAAAAATTTTCAATTGTTTTTGAAAAGTGACAGAAACATTGAAAATTCTTCAATTGTTTTTGAAGTGACGAGAAACATTGAAAATTCTTCAATTGTTTTTGAAAAGTGACAAAAACATTGAAAATTTTTCAATTGTTTTTGCAAATTGACAGATAATTGCGACGTGGCCACACTTCAATAAGCTAATAAGATATCTTTAGATAAGTACTGAAGTTCTCTGAACACGTTACTGACCCTGTCAACTTCGTGCGCTTTTTTGAGCGCCTCGCCCCACTGCTGCAGCCGCTGATAGGCGGCTGCCGCATCCGTCTGGAACCACATGCACTGCATTTCGTTCAGGTTCTCTGTCGCGGGAACACCTGTGAATGATATAAATATATTTATATTAATTTAATATAATCCAACTTCAACTGTATTCCGAATCCTTTAGCTTCACTAACGACAATTTATAAAATATCTTTTATCTCTCCCTTATAACAATAATACCCTTATAATAATAAATGTAATAATCTTTTACGTTACCCAATGTATCAAAGTTAATTCAGGCATAAATGGCTTATTGGATAACAAACATATTTAGAAAGTCATGTTTTAGCACAATATTGCTATTAGTTGCCACGCTTGGCAAGCGCATTGGCGACCGCAGTTAGGCTTTGGCAATGTTTTAAGAGGAACACTGCTGCCTATACCTCACTTTCCCTTAGTCGCCTCTTATGACTACGGGAAAGGAAGGGGTGGCCCATTCTATGCCGGGACCACATATTTCTGCCATACAATACCAAATAATCTTACTAATTTAATAAAATAGCAACTAGACGTTATCTGTACGCGAAGGATATTTAAGAAATATATGAGAGGTATTAATAGGAGCAAAAATATATTTTACAAACTTTGTATATCTGTATGTCTGTTCCAGCATCATACAAAAACTACTGTACCAAATCAGATGTGATTTTCGCAGTTACGTTCTTGAAGGTCTAACTATAATATTTTCTTCTCTACAAGTGGTATATTTCAGTAAATTCCCTACTTAGGAAATCTATGTATATGCAAACAAAAAGCCAGTAAGTAAATAAATTTTAATAAATATATTTAATGCATTCTATAGATATTACAAGCAGTAGTAGCCTGCTAAGCTTGGCAACTACTGGCAAAACCCCTCTTATGGGAGAGACATGTACAGCAGTGGGCAATCAACGTCTGATATGATGATGATGATGATAATGATAAATAGTACAAAAGAACAAATGAAAATGGTGATACCTTCCCTGGTGAACTTGGCGCACATGTCCTCGGCGCGCTTGACGTGGTCGGCGCGTAGCATGTAGCGGGCGCACTTGCAGTTAACATAGCGATCCGCTGTGTCCAGCAATTGCGCCTCCTCCAGCCACTGGTACGCCGCCACCGGGTCGCCCGCGTGCTGCAACACGCGCCAGTGCCCACACCACATATACACTCACCAACTCAGATAATAAGTGGGGGATTGTTAGTAATGGAGACTAAGAATCCTATTGCTAGCAATATACCCAACCATGTCGACCTACTCGCGGTTCCCTCTGGAAACTATCATGATTAATTCCTGACGAATTCATCATGATGGGCTTACTGGCCTGTTTTCATCCTCACTCGATTACCCTTCACTGATGCCCCGCCAGCGTACCCTGTTAGCGCAGGCGGGGTTACCATTCCATTTTCATCCAATAAAAAAAAACTCAAATAATAATAAGGGCCTCACAATCACACTGATCGCCTGCTACTCGAGCTGTGACCCTGCGTAATAAGGTATAAAGAACAATAATGTGGAGGCACAGCCCGGAACACGCAAACATGAGCCAGTTTAGAAAAAAAATTCCGCTTATTGGCCCGACTGGGATTCGAACCCGGCCCTCATTATCCAAAGCAATATGCCTATCAATACACCACAGAGATCATAACAAACGAAACTCAATTAATAATAACAACACGATATGTTTCATTGGAAAGACTACTGAAACAATTTAAAATTAGGCTCAAAAATTAAAAATTACATACAAGAAGACAAAGTAAACTCTGTCTTACCCATATTTCTGCTGACAAGCAGCTGATCTTTTGGTTCTAAGGGTGTATTACTAGTAAAATTACAACGTATAAAAAATAACATCGTAATCTTCGTAATGGCAATGCATGAAGGGTACCATAAGCGTCACAGTATATTTTATTATGACTGAAGTTGTCCATCAGCCATCACCATTCCAAATTCAATTAAGAAATTTTGCCGAGCCAGGCAACATATTTACATCAATTACATATAATGAATGACCATATCAACTTATAATGGAAAAAGGAAAATGTATTGGACAGGTAATAAAAACACTTACTCATAATGACTTACTTATAGTGACTTGACTGTTTTGAGCAATTGCCTCGTTGGCGCCCTCTAGAATGAGCCCTAACTCTTTGTTGCATAAAAACATGGCAAAAATCTTTGCAAATTACCGCCCTTATTCACGGAAAAAACTATCACTACAAAACTATCTGAACTATATTACATTGTTTTGTTTGTGTGATCTCAGAATAGAATAGGTCACCACTTCCATTCCCGTGAGTGTGATAAGAAGCGACTAAGGGAACTTAACGGTAGTTGGATGGGCAGCAGCACATCTCTTTAAACATATTTCATAAGCCTAACTGCGGTTCCTAATCCGCTTACCAAATATGGCATCTACTGGCTAAACTTCCCTTATGAAAAAGACTGATTGAAATGTTGATTATTTTGTCATTTCCTTTCAAATTAGAAATTTAGCACTAAAGAAAGAATCAATGTATGTCAATAGCTAAAATTGGTTTATGAAACGTATAACATTTTTATGAACAAGGAGGTATATCTTTCACCAGAGGGAGACTTTGTACAAAAGTCGATTGCTTAGGTACCTCTGTCCCATTCATGTTCCATGAAGCAGTTGTGTTTGCATAGCTGTGTTTCGGTTTGAAGGGTGGGATATGGCGTGAAATTACTGGGTACAGAGGAATAACACCTGAATCCTCAGGAATGGCATGCCTATAGGCGACAGTTACCACTTTCCATTAGGTGGACCGTCAGCTAGTTGGCCATTCTAAATTGTATAAAAAAAAAATTACATAGTGCTTATAATAACAAACATATTGCTATAATTATGCCACATATTTTTCACCACATCTGCCCTTCATACGCTTTCTGTATTTACCTAATGGTTAGCTGGTAGAGAATACCATATTGCATTAAGCTCGCCATTTCTACAAAGTTTTATCGTGCAATAAAGAGTAAATAAATAAATATTACATACCTTATATATCCTGCCCTTAACAATAAACAGTTCTATAAGTGTGGGGGTGTGTTCTATCGCCGCGTCGATATAATGTAATGCTCTATCAGTATCCTTCTTATAATCGAAATGCTGAGCGGCGAAGTAGTACGCCCATAGCAGCGCACTCGCCGGTTGCTTCACTTCATTCGCATCTGAACTAAATGTGCCAGTCTTTGATAAATTCTCTATATATTGTAATATTAACTTCTCTATTGTGTCCGCTTTACTTTGGTCTGCGTATAATGACCTGAAACAGCATTTGGTAACTAATAATAGTGCGTAAACATCTCTGGCACTTCATGTAATCTGAAACAGTAATATTGACTTAAATTTGAATATTGGACAAATAGTTTATGACACTGCAATCTCTCAAGCTCAGTATAAAAACTGAGATGGAGATAACTATATATTATCGTCATTAATTAGTTGTAGGATGTTCGCATTTGTATTTATAAGTAAGTTTTCATAACTAATTGTTTTAAAATTGTACACCGTTAATTGCTACACACAATGTTAGCTTATAGATAGCAGTTTTATATGTGTATATACATTAAGTATTCGCCTGGACTTTTTTACGAAAAAAAAATGGAATAGTAACCTCACTTGCGCTGTCTATATACGCGCGGTTTCAAAAAATGATGATAAGTTCTCACCTATCATCATCATCATTCTTTGGTACACATTCAGGACAGTTTTTTTTAATGGATGATTATGAAATGGTAATCCCACCCGCGCCAACGGCATACACCGGTGGGGCACCAGTGCAGGATGATAGGTGAGGATGAAGCAGGTCAGTTAGCCCATCGTGACGAATTCAACAAGAATTGTTCACGATGACTTCCAGGGGGAACGACACGGATGTCGACCTTATAGGGCATTTTGCTAACAATGTGGCTGTCAAACTCCATTGCTAACAATCTCTTTCCCCCCATCTAGGACAATTAGGACATCGTGACATTTTACCAATGGGAATTAACCACAATGGTTTCTAGAGGGGATCGCGTGGCATGCCTCGTAATTCGCCAACGGTATTGGTATACCAATAGCGTTGACAAGGCTATTCCATTATCATTTAAACAATTGATATCCCACCAATGGTAATTTATCTTTTCCTATCAATCCCCGAAGGAAATGATTTTTTATGTTCAGAAACAATATGATTCAGGAAATGATCAACCAAAATGATAATTATTCACTCTCTATGGTTGCCTGCTCATAAATATATAAAGATATAGAGACAATGAAAATCAGAACAAACCTGAGATCTACAAAAAGTGGCGGGATGCCTTTATGCAGCCCGTGCCTAAGGTACTCGTCCACAAGCCGTTGGAAAACGGGCTGCGCTTGCGCATCCGTTAACTGCAACCGCCGCGGAGCTATTGCTTTGGGGTATTCTTTCCTGAAACATAAATTAACAATTATTAACTAACTTAATGAAGCAAACATCTTAATTTCTTTTTAAAAAGGAAGTTTTCTCGGCTCATCTTTATGTTTATGAGTACAAAACAAAAGTAATAAGGATTCTTCAGAGTCAGTAACACGCACGTAACAACCCTAGTGTTACAGGCGTCTAGAGGACACATTGACCATTTCCTATTAGACTGGCTGTATGCTTGTTTGCCACCATTGTAGCATAAAAAAACAACTGATTTTTGTTGCCTGATTGATTTCAAGTAATTGTCAACCCCCAATAAAAGGTATGTATTGAAAATGATCTTACAAATTATATAACTAAAATAATAAGTTCCATTTATATCCTGTCCTACAATAACTACTTGTCTTAATTTTAATTCGAGACAATTTTGTAGGTAACTTTTATATAAGAATTTAGAAACTTATTTATATCTATGGGTAAGTCTAAGACATTAGTGATATTTTAGACACAAAAACCACTCACTTATATACATCAAAGAAGGCCACTTTATCATCAGGATTACTAAGTTGTTTAGCTTCTATAAGTTTCTGATAATACATAACATTTTCTGGATTTCTTTTTAATAAATCCTCATAAACAGCTTCTGCTTCTTTGAACCTGTAATGGAATTACATTAACCAATTATTATTTATTTTTAATGAGAAATTTGTAACGGTTCAATTTCATAATATATAAGATGGATATAATATAAATTTTATATGTGGACTATAATTTATTTTTAATAATTGTATAAAATTATAGCACAATACATTTATATGAGTTTTCCATCCCTATCTAACAATTTACCTCATACCCTAGATTCATTTAAGTGAAGTTTGAAAAATGAAGCAAAATAATATATTAATAGCCTATGAAATAAATGTAATTATATAAAAAAAAATATTTATCCTGATAACTGAATATATTCCAGTTATGTGATAAAAGTTAAGAGTAAAAACTAGTGTTGTACATAAATGTAAAATGTGCTTGTATATATCTAATATTTTAAACACTAAAAAGCAACAATGCACTACATACCTCTTAAGCTTCAAATAATATTCGCCAGATGTCTCTTTAACTGATAACTTATCAAGAATTTGGCTTTGAAACTTTTGTAAGTGTTGTAATGCCCGTTCATACTGGCCTGATTCAGCTATAACCATATTTTGGTAAAGGAGAAGTTCTGAATGCTCATAATCATATGGGCCTTTCATTTGATTTGTGCGGAATGCATCTAAAATACTGTTTGCCATCTCATAATCACCGAGCAGGTGATAGCTCATGGCAAATCCAATCCATGAAGCCCGCTGTGTGGGTCTGAGCATGAACAGCTGATACCTTGTATCCTGGAAATTATAGATACATAGTCACTACTTTTGTAAATCAATACAATACTCAGTTACTTTATTTCTATTATTTAATTGTGTTATACTTCAGTTATAAAACAAAAACTAAAGTTTAAATTAAGAATTTAATATTTATTTTTTTTATGAGTACAAATTTATAATTATATTTTTTTCTTTTGTTGTCCCAATGCATTCCTTATAATTATAAGGCAAGTAGGTAGAATACAAAATACAGTTAAATTTTATTTCCAATTGAGACCTATTTTCTTTCTAATATAATGTGTATATATTTGTACAATTTTAAGTCCATGTCAAATAATTATATTTTACGTAGTATAATAATAATAGGCTATCAGGAAATAGTAGCAGCCATGAGAGGTACCACTTTATGACAGTATATTGTGATATCCAGTGTTGTGTCTATAGATGTCAGTCACCAATTTCCATAAATTAGTAGTGATTACAATCCATATTGATGTTAATATAAAGCATTTCAAAAACATATATATATATATATATATTTTGTCATATATAATGAATCTAATATCATGACCTCATTCAATATTATGTAATGAAGTGGTGTGGTGTGAGATTATTCGTAATGGGGTCTAAACCCTAACAGCCCCATTACTAGTGACATACCCAATAGATTAACTTCCACACCAATTACCCTGAAACCCATTGTGGTTAATTCTAGTTGAATTTATCACAATTGGCTAAATGACTTGCTTTCATCCTCATTTGCTATTGCTCACCAGTACCCCACCAGCATATACCAATAGGATGGTTTTAACATCAAATTTTCATCCATTAAAAAAAAGTTTTATGTTGCATAGGAATATTTAAAAGGTGGTGGCTGATCCTGGAGGGATAAGGTAAGGACTTAAATACTTCTTATATAGGTCGAAATAAGAACTTTCAGCTTAGAACAAATCTAGGTCCTTAGACCTTTTCTCTTAAGAAAATGTGCCATTTTTAAAAAAAGCCAAGCCCCGTTTGGGAAATTATCTTAAATATGCCAATTAATACTCTCAAGATTAACTGGGAAACATCTCAATGTACAAATTTTTTGTCTGACAAATATTTATTCGATATTCCATTTCCCATATAGAAAACTTTGTATATTTCAATCATTATTAAAGCAAGTTTTAAAAGATGTATGTTACTTTTAACACATCAAATTTGAATGAAATTTAGTATACAGATAAAACATATTCTAGATTATATTATACGCAAACTTTAAGCAAATGCACACATGTCTCATGTAATCAAAACAGAGCTAGTATGTAATATAATGCTAATTTAACATTTCTTTTAAATGAAATATACATACTTTATAACCTTCCAAATCACGCATCTGAATTTGGAGAAGTGAAAGGTCTCTTAAGATCTGAATATTCTCCTTTTCCCATTTGAGAGCATTGCGGTAGCATTTGATTGCCTCATCATACTTTTTATCTGATCTTTGAAGCAGACCATAGACATGCCAACAGACATGAGACTGAAGATCATTACGGAGACCTCTGCGTACATGTTCATAAGCCTCTTCCTTCCTGCCCATACAATTGAGGGTCAACCCCTTCATTGACAGTGTTTCTAAAAAAGTATACATAAATATTAGTCCATGGAATGTTTAAAAAGCAATTAAATATGATGTAGAAATATTAACATTTTGTGTGCTATTAGACTACATAGAAAATTAATACTATTCTATTATTTCAATAGTACACATATTTTTCTTATTATTTTAAGATGCTGTACTGGACCCAATAAATGTTTTTTTTTTACATATAAAAAATTATGAAACATAGAGTATTAATTATATAACAAACTTAAAAGCTTTATTAATTATTAGTAAGATAATATAACATCCAAATACTGTATGTATGTAATAATAATAATAACTTAAAATATAATTTCCTGTAACTGGAAGAATTTAAAAAATTAAATTTCAGTAATTTAGCCCCCACATACATTCCAATTTTATATTTTGAAATATTTATTACGTCCTACTTAGACTTTCTAATGAACTTTCATAACAGTACCTCTCTTTGTTCTCTTTAGATGTTTATGACTACATTCCAGTTTTAATATTATTAAAACATACAGAAAATTAAACTTTACCTCCATGCTCTGCAAACTTTGGGTTGGATAATATTTGTTTAGCAAATTTCAATCCATTTTTGTATTGTTTGTGTTCATAACAACGCTGAAAAATAATAAAACGTTAAAGCTTCAAGTTGTAACCTATATTTATTATTAGATTCATTGCCCAAATAGTGCAAGGTTGTTGTCTTTATTAATAACTTATTATGATTAATTGTTTAAATATTAATTTTCTTTATAAAAATAAATTAATTTGTAATGCAGTATTTTACTATGAACCAATTAACATCTATTATTAAATTACTACCTCGAAGTGCTAAAACCAAAAAATAATGACAAGTCCTAAAGTACCAAATCAAATGTTTACAACAGGACTTACCAAAATTCGTTTGAAAAGAGCATTTTCTTTAGGCGGTAAAGGATTACTGGGTGGCATTTTGTTCAAAGAAAAAGAAATGTCTGTTTATTATTTTTACTAATAAATTGAAATATTTCTAAAAACCTCGTGGCTATAAACCAAAGAAGTCGATGAAGAACTGTTGTCTATGGGCGCTCGTTAGGGTCACGTGACCAGACACATTGCCATTTTAAAAACTTAACTTACCCTCGAATTCAAGATCCACCTCACATTTGCAAAATGTTCTACATGTTGCTCTAATTTTTATAGACTGAAATCTATAACTAAACAGGGAAATTCATATCTTTGCATTTATGTGATTACACCCTTGAAACCACTTGTAAGTTTTGCTACAATACTGGCTGTCAGTTGCAGTCGTAGACAATGTCAGTGGTTGTAGTATTAAAGATCAGGCTGTATGGCATAGTTCCTTTACCTTTTTAATTGTGGATAAATTAGTACTACAACTACTACTACTGTCAGTTGGAGTACTCCTAATCTGCAGTGTCAATCAAACTAATGTCTAATTTATTTACTACCTAGAAATTAAGAAGTCTTTTTCCGTGTTTTCAATTTAATTAATGAATTAAATAGTTAGTGTTCTATATTTGTTTAAACGACTATTATAATATCATAATCTATAATAAGATATGGGTATAGAAAACATGCGTCGCTGGCCTATGTATATTGTCTTCGCTTTATGCATCTTACTTTTACTTTCACTATTCAATAGTTGGAGCATGGAAGCTGAATTACGAGTTAGAATTGCTGAAATTAGCACACAACTACAGGAATGCTCAAAACAGCAGACATCGTGTATGGAGGAGTCTTTGACTCTAATGGAACAGAGAGATGGGTATGTTAGTAAAGTCAATGATCTGGACAAACAAAAGGTAAAATTGTCTGACGACGTAGCTGAATACAAGAGTAAAATAGCTAAATCAGAAACAAAAGTCAATCGTACACGTGTTGATTTGGAATTTTGCAAAACTGAATTACAGTCTCTGCAAAATTTGCAAGTAAGTAAATCTGCTACGTTAGAGACTTTGAGACTTGAAAAAGACACACTAACAGCCCAACTGACTGATAGGAAGCAGAAAATTGAAGATTTGGAAAAAGAGATTGAAAGGTTGAAATCTGCATTGACAACTAAAAGTGCACCAGCAGTTCCTTCCAAGGTAACACCAGCTGCTCAGCCTCCTAAACTAAGCCCTGCACTGAATGTTCATAATCCCCTTAATGAGCCTGTCATTGAAGATAATGCAGCTAAAGAAGACCTTGAAGACACAAATGCTGTTAATGAAGCTCCAGATTTTGACCAACAATTCTAATAGACTATGTGGTCTAGGTAAGCCATATGATAGACTGAATGTCTTGAGGTTATAAATCATATTTTGTTTATTCATTTTTTTACAAAATGCACTAGATATTAAAATAATATTAGGAATATGCATATGGATTATACATAATATGATATACATATAGACTACATTGCTGAATCATGATCTCCCCTCAATTTGTCGAGACAGGAAATTGTATAAATAATGTTTATTTTACCAATTTACTATTGATACTCATATGAAATTGGTTTTTTAGTTAAATTAGTGATATGTTATTAGACAAAGTGTGTTGTATTATTGTTTTATTGTATATGTTTATTATTAGTGACACAATTAACATGCAAACAGGAATACTTGCTAGTTTGAATTTATAGGGAAAATATAAATTATTGATAATTTTTTAGTTGAAAGGGCTGTAATAAAAATGTAGAACACACCGTTCATAGTGTTTTCATAATGTAATGAGAAAATATGTATATATGTATATCTGAAACAAATAATTTACAATATATATATATATATATATATATATATATATATATATATATATATATATATATATATATATATATATATATATATTATAACTTATTTTCTAAATTCAAATTTTCTTTCAATATACAAGCCCATTTCCAGGCTAAAAAAATTCTGCATTTCAATTTAGGACATGCATCTATCAGTATTTATGTTTTATTTGCAAACATTTGGCTTTAAGAGGTTTTGCATTTGTAAAGTTATTTGAATAACAAATAAGCTCAGTATTGTCTGATATTCTTTTTTGCCATCATTAAAATCATGTAACATTAAATAAATTTGAATAGTAAAAGCATGGTGTTACGATCATGGTAAATGTCCAACATCACATATATATACATATACAGGTAATTAACACAATGTTTTATATGTTTCACAGAATAAAAAAAATAATTTATATAAACTTTGTGCAGATTTTAAGTCAATCTTGGTCTTATAAATCATCTACTATCTCACTCTGATTTATGGTTTGACCTATGAATAGCAGAATTACACTATTTGATTTTTTTTTATTAGTTATAATATTATTTTGTTATATTGATTAATCAATTGTTTTAACTGATAATATCTAACTAAAATGTATATTTTAATTTCAATATAAATCATAATTATAATGTGAAATTACTGATGTATACACAAAAATTAAGGACCATAAAGCTCCATATTCTCTGATTTTCATCCACATACAAGTTTTAATACATATATATTTTAAAGATTTACATAGATAATACAATGATACTAGCTCTGTATGTGACTTATGTGTCTGATGATGGTGGTCATCTCTATTCTAATATTATCATAGAGATATAACAAATATCAATTACACTAGTGTGTGTGTGTGTAATATAAATCCTGAATTTGCAAGGAATTTAAATTGCAATAATAACACCAAATGTTTGTATAGAAACATTTGTTGTTCCATTGTTTCTGCCTACCCTAATGGGAGACAGGTGTGACAGATGTGTGTATGTTTGCAACATTCATGTATGTACAACATGTATTTATTGTTATTTCAATTCATTGGCATTTGGAGCTTTATTTGGATTATAACTGATTTTTTTTACTCTCTTTTTAATGGTTTTAACCATTTTAATGATTCTATGATATTGCATTTTAAGAACAAAATGTTTAAATATGCTTTAATGCACACAAAATGTATAATTTTGTGGGATTTCTTTTTTTTTATACATAAATTTTTTTTGTTTATAAATTCCATCAAACTTTTTGTAGCTGATCAATCTATGAAGTTCCTTATCTATCTCAGTAACGTATATTATTATTTTTCTCCTTTTTCTTTACGTGTTGTAAGCAAATAGAAATATTCTAAACATGTTCAAAACTATTATCAATGTAAGCTTTTAAATCTCTGTAACCTTGATAGTGTATCGGTTTAATACATCCCCTTACTTTCCGATAGTCGCGGGTTCGATGCTCGCACAATACAAATACACAGATATATTTATAAATATCTCTATTTATATTGGTCTGGTAGCACTAGATGGCGCTATATAATGTCTAGTATTTTTTTTTTTTTTTTTTTTGTTAAAAAACAAATGCCAATAAAACATTACATTTTAAGAATAAAACAATTTTATAATATGTAATATTGGTATTACATTGTATGTGGATGGAAAGGGGGATAAAGGTGATAGTGGAACAGTAGGTTAAGGTAAAAATGGTCACAAAGATGTATACAAGTCAGAAGTGCATTTAATTTGAAAGCACTTAGCTCATAATCTAATTTATAGAACAATTCTGCCACTATTAAGTTTATGCCATATAGGTGCCACGGTATTTTATTATAGATCTGATAATACCTTTACAAAAAGGATTTAGTCAGACTTTTTTGCTCAATATTTAACTCCAGCAACCAATTCAACTTGCACTTTCCTGAATTATTTCAAGTTGATAGATATTGTGGGGGAGAACATTTTCAAAATCCAGTAATAGAGGGTGGTGTTTTTTAAACACTTATAATCCTTTACTCAACATTTCTCCTCCACTTTGGTGTAGGTTGGCGATAGGTTGGTAATGACTGGTGAAAGAAAATGTCTGTGCAGATGAAATACATTTTGTATGTTATAGTATGCAATTTAATATGTTAAAATTCAAATACAGTCAATCAATAAAGAAAAGTGTTCATCTGCAGAGGCCTAGAGGGATCCCAGTTACCCCACAGCCTTCTGTGGGGATCCAAGTGTGATTTTGGTGTATCTTTTACTAAACTTGTTCTTGAAAAAATATTTGTGATATATTGGAATATTTAATATTGACAAGTTGTTCTTCCTGTTTGTAATATAAAACAAATAAATATTTTATAAGAGATATGTTTTTACTAAAAAAAAAAAAGTATTATTCATAAACAGTTTTATTGGCCTTATACATCTCTAGGATAAACAAAAAATCTTTGTATTTTACTTTACAAGTAACTTTATAACAAAACTTAAATGTAAATATAAGAATATAGACCTAAATCTTATTAAAATTCATATAAGTAATAATTTTCCTCCCAACAACTTTTTTAGGTCCTAACTGGATTTTCTCAGGGAACAGTTCCTATTTGAATATATTTTTTCCATTATTAATACTGCTAAACAAGCAGATTATCGGAAATACTATGCTATAAGTAACAGCTGATTTCATATTTGAATTTCTGTATAGGCAGTTTTACTTAAATATTACACAAATATTTAAATGTAGTGGGTAAGTTAAATAAGTTATTAAATCTGATTGGATTGTTATTTACAGATGATGTACTAGCCCATGTATTCTCTGTTATTGTTGTAACCGGTAAGTAAATGTCTATGGTCCAGTCGTATTAGTTCCCATAGGGGTGAGAAGTCAAATTTGATGTAAAACCTTTATGATGTAATAAAATTGTAGAACAGATGATCCTTGATTCAAAAATAAAGTAATTAATATTTATCAGAGCACCATTATCTCTGCAAGTTAGTAATCCTTAACAGATGACATTTCTTTCTTTATTGTTATATGCAAAGAGTATATAAATCACTGAGGTTTGGTTTATATATACAAATAAATCTTTCGTTTCGCTATTAAATATACTTCTCGTATTACATCCAGCCACAGTTGCCACAGGCAAATTAACTTTACATTTAATATATACCACTGTGTTCCCCCTAAGGGAACTACACAAGGAGTCCATGCACAAATATTGATTCAAATATAAAATCGACTATTGGTGAAAAACATACAAATAAAAGAATACTTAAAACCTATCTCACTAGGGCTAACTTTTGTAACTAATTATAAAAAGACACAAAAGTCGGTGGTATTAAAAGTAAAACAGTATTTAATAATCGTAACAATTGGTAAGTATTTTAAACTCTTTAAATAAGGGACCTTGAGGCGGAAATGGTGTAAAATATAGTGGTGTTAAGTAGATATAATAAAAATTTTGTTGATCTCGCTAGAGGCAAGAATCTGTTTATTACAGGCAAACTGCTGTTACTAAATTTGTATTAATGTATCTCACTATTAATTCCATGTTAACGGGAAGAATAAATGCCGTGAATTTGTTTCGTGCTGTTATTTAGGCTCACAGCGTATCTAATGTACTTAATCAATACATACGAAGTGAGAAGTTACAGACAGCAGTCATCTATAGTGTAAAGACACCCTATGTGTAACATTCATACACAGAAAATATTTATGAATCAAGCATGAACAAAAACCTGTTTGCCCTCATAAAATCCAAACAAGATTTTTGAAACATAATAGCTTAACATAAAACTTATATATAAAAGCCGAACACAATTTTAAAATATGACCATTCCAATGTAATACAACATAATCTATCAATATGATAAGACCTTATTTTTTCATACAAATTATTAATTTTTAAAAACATTGGTCCCTACCTTTTATTATTTGAAAACAAAGAATAGACACTAGCAAATATTGCATTCGACAAATTCATAAAGGTAAAAAAATAGTCATAATGTAAACCTACTTTAGAAATTAATTGTAAGTGATATAACTAGTCATATCACATGCTTCAGCAAGTACATAGAGAAAATAAAATCTTTTGAATTAGGAAGAAATTAATAATCTACTTCTGCTCTCTTTAGCAACACATGATTGTTGCCTACCCACACAATAAAATATTTTGCGCCAGTATGTAACAAGATATCTATAGGATAAGCTGGCATATTTATATCAAAACCACTTACAAGAAACCTAATTCATAAAATAACTTTGTCATTATTCGTTATAGCAAATAGGATGAAAATGAGATTTTAACTTGTATAGGAATACATCATGTTTATTAGTCATATGAATGGGGCATGTTTGTAGAAATAAAAAATCTACAAATCTTTGGCGAGATGCATTAAAATATAGGTCTGAAACCACAAAAGGAACCAAAATTATGAATACATGAGGAAGTCAGTGGGGTTGATTCTAAAGCACTATTTCTTTAAACATATGTTTTAACCTAATATTTTAATATGATAGTTTGGCGAAATTATTACTTTATGGGTCATAGACAAAATTTATTTTGTTTACTTAAATTTATTAGAAATTTAGGTTGTATTGGTATTTTAAGTAAATATGTTATTGCGATATCAAATTGAAATTTTAATTTTTAGATAGCTTTGAAAAATGCCACCTCAAAATCGATCCCAATATATTTTACTAAAGACTGATAAAATCTACTGATAATAACCTGGATTAGAATTATACAATCTGTTGTAAGAGATGTGCAGTTTATTGTTTTATTAACTTGTGAATTGATAGCAACATAATTGTGCTAAACATTGGTATTTTCTAAATCTTTTTTTGCAGCCTCTTCAAAAGCAGCCAAAAGATTCCTCCTGCATTTACTTTCATCTGAATATACCAATGCCCATATTATATATTCGCCAATGTTTAATGGATCTTGTGAATAACTGATTTGAATCTTACACTTTCTATCCCATTTCATTGTATCTGTGCTCCTATTACTTCTAGATCTCACAAATTCTATGTAACCATTGCATTCAACTGCTAGTTTGGGTAGTTGAGCATTAAGTGTATCATGGGATCTATCTGAATCTGTCCCACTGGTAGAGGGCAGACAATCTCCTTGTCCCACTTCACAATTTGGAGGTGTGACCGGCACACATCTTCTTTTTGCTCTCTTTCCAAGCACACTATCACCCTTGCTATTTATCTCTGCACCTTCCTCAGCTGTATACTCTCTTTTAAGTCCATTTCTTTGACTTATCAGATCTTCATGTTTATTATCAGGGTATTGAGTTTCAACATGATGCTTCTTAATACGTTTTATGGCAAAATTTGATTCTTTTAGGTCATCTTGTGGGTTACACCCTTCTGCCCATTCAGGACTGTCATTGAGATTTCTTTTAACAGATCTTTTGATTTTGCAATCAATAATGTCAGGAGAGTCAAGTGGGCTAGCCAATGTATCATCTTTTCTGAAAATTTGTAGTATCACTATAAATCATATGGATATTATAAATGTAAAAATTAGATAGTTATTGGTTACTCAGTCATACTTAAACAGCTGAACAGATCGAAATGAAACTTGCCAAGTTATATCTTAACACATAGGATACTTTATATGCTGACTAGCATAGGTAAAGCTGCAGGAAATGGCTAATAACAAACATTTGTTAACAATAAATGTATTTATCTAATCCCAATAGGAAATTCTGAAAAATATAGCAACATTTTCATAACAATAAAATATCATCTGCCTCATAACCACTTTATAAAGGCATAGAATATATAAAACATCTACAAACCTGCTGATCCTATGCTGTCTTATTTGAATCTTGTCTATACTTTCTATGGTTGTAAAGTCATGTCTTGAACATTGCATATCATATTTGAGAAATGCAGATACTTTTTTCCTGGTTTTTATAGTTCTTCCAAACCATTCTAAAATGGCATCATCAGCAAGATATAAGCAGAGATTCTGTCTTTCATCATCAACCATGCGCTTATACCAATTTATGAAAGTCCTAGCTTGTTGACGTTTACTATATTTATTACTATTATATGTATTATCTTGTGTTTGGCTGATATTCATATGGGATGTTTTACATCGTTTTTGTGGTGATTTAGACATTTTACTCTGTAATATGATGAATAATATTACTTTACATAAAAGAAATCATTAGTGTCCCTTTAAAAGTGTTCTACCAGAGATATCAAACATTTTCCGCAAAGAAACATGGGTCCTATTCCTCATAGCAAACAATAAACAAGACAAACTATGTTGCTGATATGCTGGCAGGAACATATTTTATACCATTTTTATTTCTTTTTATATTCTATTTTATTTAAATGTCTGAGAAATAATGGTCAATGGATACTTTTAGGGGTGGTTATTGGAGTTAAGAGGACTATTGTAAAGCCTAAAAAAAAAAAACTTTTTCCATATCATTATGATGCCCTTAGGGGCACCATGGACCAAGAACTTAGATTGTACTTCACTCCATTTTTGAGTTGCAATAGTCTGAAATGATTGGGCCTATATAACTTGGAAATGAGGCAACACATGAAAAAATAACATATTAGCAAAATTGATCCTCTCAAGAAAACCTAACTAATAGGTGAAAATAGAGTTATTGCAACATTAAAAAATTCCTTAAAATTTTTCCAAGTTCTTAATGCATAGTGCCTCTAACGATATACTCAAACCGAAATAACACATTGTGTATATATGGCCATTGATATCTATATGTTGTTTCTTCCTATTCCAATTATAGAATAACCCACACAATTCCTGACACAAGTAAAATAGCGCCTTCATAATCTTAACAATACTTACTAAGTCCCATGAGCAGCATATTATACACTATTTTACATTTTATATGTATATAAACCTATCTGCCTCCTCCAAGCAATACCAAGGACGGCGTAAAGGTAAATAAACCTAATAGTAAGTGCATTTTGGTATACTTCTAGGAAGTTCTTAAATATATACTCACATTTTTCAGACAATATTTCAACAACCCTTTGAGAACTTTTTGCTTCGTATGCCAATTCCAATCGGAGATTTTTTAGGCGTCGCTTACTCTCGGTTATGTACGCAGAGATTGAAAGATTGACCTCCAATAGCTCTTTATGTAAAGATCTAACGTTTTTATTGTTTGTAAATATGCTTTCTTAAATAAAAATAAAATTATTTATAAATAAACTGTCAAACAAACTTTGTAGAACAATTGACTGAATAGTTCCATTTTTAAATAAGATAACCTACCGATACACTTTGCTGCTTCTAATGCTAGATGATCTCGGGTCAAATCATCGGATATTGTTGAATTCATTTTACATGTACGTGTTATATAAATATTCGTAAAATAATTCGTTGTATAAATGTAATATGTTTATTTTATGATTTTCACAATCACTGCAACGTTCATTCAATTCAATTAAACAAAATTCAGACATAATCACAGACTAATTCAAGTCAAGGATAATAGACATAAACATCTTTCTCTAATCTATGACCACAAGAAGAACAAAATCGACTCTACAAAATACGTACCACAAACTAGCATTATGTCTGTGGTACGAAAGAGCTCCAATGTTATTCGTATCAACGTTTGATAGTAATAAAAATCATAAACAAATGAATATTTATAGCATTATAAAACCTTTAAAAAATTACTATGTCTCTTTTTAAAAATGTTTATATCGATGAGTACTATAGAATAATTAGTTACTTTATAGTGTAAATATAAAATTTATTTGGATTGTATAGATTTTACAAAAATATTTATAGCACTTGTCTGACATTGTATGTTGAATCTCTCATCTAATTTGTTTAATGTGAAATATGTACAATAAAAATTTTACTATACAATATAATTTTTCTTGTTTAAAGTAATGAAGACGAAAATTTGCGTAAGATTTGCAATAGTCTTTTTTTTTTTTACTCTGTGTGGGCACAGAGCTCTTCTAATTACAGTAATCAACTCCTGCTTTAACTAATATACGTTTTATAGGATACTTAACCAGCGGCAATAACAATGGTTGGCTCCAGGAACTACTCGTTCTACTTCCAAAAGAAGAAGTACTCTCTACTATTACTAAAAACAGAGGCCCTAGTAAATTTACGTCTAAATACGGATATTCCAATTGATCCTGAGACACTATACGCTCTTACGCCGTTTTTCTTTAAACTCCGAGAATATCTCCCAATGGTTATTTTAAGATCCAGTACTAATAGTAGATCAAAATCTACCAAGGAGACCCTAGCCTAAAGGTCAAATAGCGCGGGATTTCCATGGCTTTGATGGAATGGTTCAGGTAGTTAAAATTACAACAAATGAGAAGTGCTTAAAAATCCATCAAAAAAGTAATGTTGTAAATTTTATCATCTTCCTCGATACTTTGTACTGAGACGCGTCATGTTCTCGCTATACCTGCTTTTATATAAGTATACCTTTTAAGATTTTATACGTTTCTATGTTAAATATTTGATCTTGAGATTTATAATCGTTTCTATATTTTTATTATAGCTCTCTGTACATCACTATTTAGTTTGTGAATTCTTTCTATTTTTGTCCACATATCTTAGCTTCTGAAATTAAAATGAAAACAGTAATTTCCAATATTTTCAAGCTAAAATAAGAAAACCACTGAAATAATTACGGACCTTTTTAAAATAATTGTTTCTTAACTTATTAAGAAAAAAATCAAACTAAACCAGAATCTTTTGGCATAAAATGTATTTCAATCTTTTTAAAGTGCACCTCCAACTTTAAATCATAATATATTTTTTTAATTTATGCATACTTATAAACTATTTACCTATGATATAACAAAAACAAAAACGTTGAAAGTTTAACCATAGACAATGGATTAATTACGTGAACGATTGGATAGTCAGGTAAGCGCGCTTCTTTTGGAGTGGTACTGCGTCGAACCAATCTACTGCGTTCGTAGGATCATTGACTTCGTCCATTGGTCTATCTTTTGTCAACCAATCATCGAAAAACCAGTGAGGACTCTCAATGTAAGTTTGCTATTTTCGTCGAAATTCCCTTTTGTTATGGTTGTGTTAATGTGTTTTCGGGATATCAATAAATGTGTCCACGAAAATGAAAAACTTTTTATCGTGCATGATGAAATTACTTAGAGCAGCCATTTTGGTTACGGTGATTTCGTCGGCCTTCGTTCCGTGACGTGTTTCATATCTTTACAACATGGATTAAATTATTACTAATTTTAATTGTTAAATATATTTTGATGCATTAATCGCACCAAAAATATAAATTGCCTATGTTTTATATTAAATGTGTGAACAGGTATACTTTCATTATCTTATCTCTAGTACTACTAACTTTCAGTCTACTTATCTTAGAATTTGTTCTCACCTTTAAGATTTAAAAAAGTTCAAGATTTGAATGCTGTTATACGTATATGAAAAGTTTTGTTTTAACTTGTATTATTTGTAGAACCTGAATATACTCACTTGCCAAATATGTGACCAAAATCAATCAATATAAATTTCATATTGTTACTATAAATTCTGCACCTATTTTAATTTTTATCAAGATATTTGTATGATCTCCAAGAATATCTAAAAGGCATTATAAACTTCTTTCTATAATTAGACAACCTTTGTCTCAACTATTTCTGCCACCAATAGTTTACTTGCAGCAGCATATTGTGTTCGTTTGTAGGGTAATTATTATATATAACAGTAAATAAAATAGATATGGAAAGATTAGAAAAAAATTGGGTTCTTTTGGCATTTTCTGAAACTTATTGACACCAGAACCTTTCAGGGTACTTAGAATTTGCTGAATTTTATTCTGCCTAGTGCCAACTTCTCTGCCCCTTCATTCCCTTCTTTTACCTTTAAATGAATTTTTTTTACTTTTTAATTAAAAACTTGGAGATAATTTATTTATTTTTTTAAATAAATTTTGTTCTTAAAGGGTTGTTGCTGCAGTAAAATATTTAAGTAATGTATTAATTTATATGCATTTATCTATAAAGTAAGACCTTATTTATTATTGTATGTTTAGTTCATGATATACAAGCTCGCAGGACAGATGCCATTGTGGTCTTCGTGTACTTGTGCCTTATATTTTGTTTGTAATAACTGTTTTATATATATATATATATATATATATATATATATATATATATATATATATATATATATATCTTATTAGGGTAATCCAACTACTGAGGTTACTGGAAGAAATCTCTTCAAGGGATAAGTCTGCCTGTGTACCTTGTCATTTTGTTTATAACCTGATACCTTTATTAAGTGAGAATTTACAATACAGCTTATACAAACAAACACATTAGCTCCTAGTAATTTTAATAATATAGTTATGGATAATTTTTATATTAATATTCACCATAAAAATATTGCTATATTGGTCTGGCTTTGTCTTACAGAAATTAGAATTATAATTACATATGAATTAGAATTATAATCATGATGATGATGATGATGATGATGACTATGTAAGAACTTGAATAATTTTAACTGTGTAATAATTTACATGTATGCTCATATATAATACTTGTTATAGTTGTAATCTATTTTTTATTGTGGAAAATAAAAGGAATATATCTTTACAACTATAATACATTATGTGGTAGTCAAAGGCATTTTTAATGTTTGCTTGGCATTTGGTTTTTTTTTTTCTTTTTGTCCCTAATATATTTTCCTTTTTTTCCTCCAGTGAGTCAATATGGAGCATGCTCAGATGCAAAGTTCTGATGGTGCTCAAGTGATGACCATTAATGGCCAACAACTACAAGTGTTGCAAATGAATAATTCCCCACACATGATACAAGGTCCGAACGGTCAACAGATTATGGTTCATGCTATACCGTCTTCTGGACCAGCAATACAGGTACATAAGATAATTTTTTGTTAAATGATTAGGATTTTAATTAATACAATTAATTAAAATCCTAATCATTTAACCTCTAGTCATAATATTGCCCCCTAGCCTCTAAATATTTTTTTTTTTTTATATTTGAATGGCAAACTGACAGTCTGTGTTGAATAATGGTAATTACATTCTTAAAAATGAGCAGTACCATGAACCCAGACTTTATTATGATGCATATCATACTCATGCATTGCCAGTGTTGTTTCTAATCAAAATTCTTACTTATAAAGCAAATAAGTATTTTTTTTAATGAATGTTTTTCTTCCAGCGAGTAACTAATACTATCTTATTAATACAGTATAGGAATCTATAAAATAATTAATAATTTCATTTAAATTTTTCAAATTTTTGTTAAACATGCATTCAGATTGGAACTCCACAAATCCAGGTAGTGGTATCATCAGCATTTCTTAATTGTTGTCTATATTTATGCCAAGACTCTAATATCACAAAGAAAATATATTTTCTCTGCACTTTCTTGAGAAATACTAGTATAGAAAAATATTGTATATAATGGGACATTAAAATTTATATTTTATCTATCACTGGTCATCTGACTCACCTTTGCATACGTGGACAAATTTTTGAATGTAATACTATGTTACTTGCTGATAATGTAGTTTTCTATAGGTGAAAGAATTTTCAAAATCGGTTTTTTTTATACAATTTAGAATGGCAAACAAGCTGAGGGCCCACCTGATAGAATGTGGTAATCATTGCCTCTATAGACATGAACAGTACCATGGACATAACAGGTAAAGTATCTTTTTAGTTTATCCATTACAAACAAACAAATCTTTCCTCTTTATAATATTAATAAGAATAGATACGCTACAGTACTTGACATAGAGTCATACCATGCAAAAACTAGTCCCTGTTATACATTTATGTTAACCATTATTTTATTACATTTTCAGGTGGCAACACCCAATGCACAACAGTTGCAACAATTACAAGTCGTGCCTATATCCAGCATTCAGGGTAAACTATATCAATTTTCAATTTTTATTACTGTATTATAAGGCTTTTGAGTCAGCTAGTTTATCCTAAAATTAATCTATCATAATTTTTGTTGATACCATAAAAATAATTATGCTTGTGGCAATATATAATACATAATTATTATATATATAATTACTTTACGCTATCATATATCGTCATAGTCGTAGAATACTGACGGATCTGACAAAGATTACATATAAAGATCCGTCAGTATTCTATGACTATGACGCTATAAGAGTAGTGTAATATCAATTATTATTTATTAATATACTATCTATATCAATAATATCCCATCTTTACAGACAATAAGTTATGGCCCTTATTCTTGCATTTTAGAATATCTCACTTGTATATTTATCATTTTTATTATATAAACACAATTTCAATATGGAAGTTACATGTAAATAAGAACAATGTCAAAAAATATTAATTTGTAATGTGTCATGTATAACTTTGCAGGTGCCAGCAACAATATTCAACCAATGCAGCTTGTGCAAACTGCAGACGGACAGACATTCATATACCAGCCAGCAGCGAGTGCCCAGCCTGCCATAGATCAGCATCAGATCATACATCAGCCAGCTGGTAAGTTCTGAATCAAAGATACGTATACACTATACATATTCCGAGGAATTAATGGAATTGATACCTGATACTGAATCTCATCATTGTACATCCATCCCAACCATCTGGAGAAGTGGTGGTCTTCTACCACGTATTTTTCAAGGTACTTTCATTTACGCACAACTATGCTTTGCAAATAACTTCGAAAAATAATATTTACTGATACAACATCGCAAGCTTCAAACAAAGAACAAACATATTACATGTCTATGGTCCACTTGCAATTCCTCCGGTGTTGCGGGAGCTCATGGGAGGCGGTAGTAACTTACCATCAAGTGATTACCTATTTTTCCACTGCGTTATCGAGATATGTTGATTAATCAGGAAAAGTAGCCTATGTTCTTCATCCAAACGCTGTATATGTCAAATATAATTTTCACAAGATTTTTTGATCCATTAAAGTGTTAAAAATGAATTCTGTTTCATATTTATAACATTGGGAAACTTATCTTTAATAAGGAAATTATTTTCAAAATTTCAAATTTTATTCAAAATGACCCACTCATTTTCGTATGGTATGCGCAATTAATTAAAATTTGTAAGTGAAAATCTCTCAATATATTTTCAAAAAAATCCAATTACGAATCCAGTCGCCTTTTGCTACTTTTGCGGATCTTGTTTTTGTCTCCTAAAAGTTTGTTTTGTGTTATTTCATAATGCTTATTTTTTTTTACAGTTATTAATCTAAATGGGAACTTAGTGCAAGTAGCGGGTGTGGGCAATGCAGTACAACCACAGCAAATCGTCAACCAACCAAACATTGTTATGGTAATTATATTATAATTTTTCACTATATAGATATTTCATAATATTGGCAACATTGCGATCGGTAGTTTTCACAATACGTCATAAGTCTTTATATGATATGTATAATTTGTTTTCGTCCTTGATAAACAGATTTTGGTATCCCTTTTTTGTATGGTTATTTAAAAAATATATTAATATTAACTGTATTTGTAATACAGTAGTGTGTGAGTTGGTTTGAAAGAAATTGTCGGTATTATAAGTAGAAAAGGCTATGAAATGAGAACAATGCTATGGTAATATGAATGGATGTCAATGGAATGGTAACCCCGCCTATGCAAACGGTGTACTTTGGCAGGGAACCAGTAAGGGATGATAGAAGGAGAAGGCTTTCCGGAACCAGTATTCATGCATGAAATGAGTTATGGAAATGCAGGAAGCAAGAGATGTATGTAAGTAAAGGGGACTTTAGCATTCGGTTTTCTCTGCCTACCCCGCAAGGGACTTAGCGTGAAGATAGATAGACACACATACGAAAAAAGTTCATACTACGATTTTTTTATTCACTGCTTTTTCAATTAAAGGACATGCAAGATGATTTACCATTATCAGTTCATATAAATTTAACACGCCGTGTGGTCCCAGCATAGAATGGACCATGTCTTCCTTTTCCATGGATGTCGTAATTGACGACTATAAGAACTTAATGATCGAGGGATGGGCAGCAGCATCCCTCTTAAAATATCACCAAAAACTTGCGGTTGCCAATTTGCCTGCCAAGTATGACAACTATTGCCAAAATCTTTCAATAGGAGAGATTTATGTTCAGCAGTGGACAGTTAACAGCTGTTATGATGATCATCATAATTCCTTTCATCATTATGTCACATTAGCGACACAATTGTTTTCGGTTTTAAGTAAGAAATAATATTGTAAAATATTTCCAGATGGTGAACGGCAATAACAATAATAGCGGTGCTTCATCAGCGGAGGGCGCAGCCTCGTCCGCGGCAGGCTCCGACGAGGAACCACTGCTGTACGTGAACGCGCGCCAGTACAAGAGGATACTGAAGCGACGAGCCGCTAGAGCTAAACTGCATGAGCAGGGCAAGATACCTAAAGAGAGACCGGTATGTTAATATCATTGAAATCGTTCAGATCATTTCTAGGGAGACATTACGCTACATCTTTTTTTTTTTTATTCAGTGATATTACTGTTTTATAGACCATCGTTAACTAAATTTATAATAATTTTGACTTTCCTATTAAATCCCGTAAACCCCATATGGCCAAACACATTGTAGGACGACAATTTCAAAATGCAATTAAACCTAAACATTGTAATTGGAGTATAAGTAGGTTGACTTATATGTTTCAATAAATTAATATTAAATATATTCCCATATCGAACAACCGATGGGGAAAAAAATTTTTTTGAGTGGTAAACCCGTACGAGTAAACGCAGGGTAGGACGACCCCTCACTAGATGGAGTGACGACCTGCAATGCACAAGGACTCAGTGGATGCAGGTGGCTTAGGACCGTTCTTTATGGCAGTTTATGGGGGAGACCTATGTTTAGCATTGTATGGATCACTGAAATAATGATGATGATATCAAATTTAAATTTAAGAGATTAATTTAGATAAATGGTACCACAGAATCGATCCTATTAGCATCCAGTGTTTTATTAGTGTAATTAAACATGTGTATGAAGATACATATATATAAGTACATATATATACATATATATCGAAAAACGATAAAAAATGTTGAGCCTCCATACTAATACGGCGTTTCCAACTGACAAATTCTACGCGAACTGCCAAGGAATTATATAAGGGTATTCCTGCTTCTGTTTTTCTGGAGAAATACAATCTAGGACTGTCGACTGTTAGTCGATTGTGAATAAGAGTATCACTTGGATAAGAGAGCTCTATTCTAAATCTTATCATCACTTACCATCAGGTGAGATAAGATTCAAGCATAAACTGTTCGGTTAATAAGAAAGTTAGTATGGGAGGCTCAAATGTTTGAACACTTCTTTGAATGCTAATAATTTCAATATCAGACTATATGAAAATGGTGTATGAAAGTCGGGTTCGTATATATTGCTTTACCGAACTTAATTATAATTTTTAAAGTTTGTAAGATATTTGGGTGTTTATAATTTATGTTTGACACTGTTGAACAGTGTAGTAATTGTGGGCTAATGTTTTCCTCTCTAGAAAGACATATGCCACTCTCATATCTGGTTTAGACTTTTACATACCATTGTATATGGTTTATAAGTGATGGTAATCAACTATTTTTTTCATTTCAGAAATACTTACATGAGTCGAGACACAGACACGCTATGAACAGAATACGCGGCGAAGGAGGCAGGTTCCACTCTGGTAGTAGAAAGTGAGTATAGCAATGTTGTTTGGAATGATTGAATTGGTATAGTATTAATGATCTATATATCGTGCAAATAACTTAAACATATATATTAAATTAATTAGTGTTATGTGTTGCAAATTATAATTTTTTTTACAAAGTAAATTGAAAAAGTAAAGATAGAGTAAGAAACAGTGTGATTAGAGAGAAGTGTGGACTGAAAGACGATGTAGTGACAAAAATCGAAAAAGGAATGTTGCGTTGGTTTGGTCATTTGGAGAGGATGGATGAAAGAAGAATTACGAAAGAGATTTATGGAGCAAGAATGAATGGAGATGTCGGTAGGGGTCGCCCTAGACGGACGTATGTTGACCAAATAGGCGACGTGCTGAAAAAGGGCCAAATGAAAAGTACCCGTAACCGGCGAGCATGTATGAAAAGATTGATGAATGTGGAAGAAGCGAAAGAGGTTTGTTTGAATCGAAGCATTTGGTGTTCCATTGTTTCTGTCTACCGTAACGGGAGACAGGCGTGACAGATATGGATGTATGTAAATTGTTATATCTATATTGATGGTTTTAAATAAAGTCTTTAATTGTGATAATTTTGTTCCTACCTATGACGTAAAGGACCTTGCGTGAAGACAGTGTTACCTACTCATGATTTATAAACAAATATTATTTATGTTTTTTTTTTTTGTTTTGTTACTACAGGAACATGGATAACTCAAACCATTCATCGGATGATATTAAAGTATTGGAAGACCTAAAACCTGAAACGGTGTCCATAACTATCATACATGTAAGTTTATTTTTAATTATTTTATAGTATTTTTTTTTTATATATCACTGAGATGGCAAACAAGCATACGACCCACCTGATGGTAAGTGGTTACCGTAGCCTATGAACATATGCAATACCAGAGGTATTACACGTGCGTTGCCGACCCTGAAGAAACCTCTTTACCCCCCTTTTGAAGAACCCCATGCTGTAGTCTCTTGGGAAAACCTCTGCAGGGAGCTCATTCCACAACCTGAGTGTTCGTGGGAGAAAACATCTCTGAAACCACGCAGTACGCGACCATTGAGGCTGTAGGACATGAGGATGATCTCCCTGTCGATGGCGAGCCGTACGATAGTAGAGAGTGCAAACATAAGCAACCTAAACCATGAATACTGAATGAAGAACAATATAGTGCTAAAGACTGACTAGATAAGGAATTGACAAAGGAGTATATAATTGTACCTTTTGAAATACGTAAAGTTTCTAAAATCCTTTATTAAAATCGTTCATAACTTTAGCTTAACGATTAATGTCGCAATTGTGTCAATTTTCAAAAACAGTTGGATTTTCCATATTACTGATAGGTTATTTAAGAAGTGCTCTACCTACTAACTAGAACGTTAATCATGCAATAATATATTTATGAAACTGTGACTGAAATTTAACATTTTGGCGTTGATAGATAAAAATTCCGAGACAAAATATGAAATAGGTGCAAAGTTTTAAAGTTTTTAGTGCAGTTTTATATGCAACATATTGATTAACGTTTTAATTCATAGGCAGAGCATTTTATAAATAATTAATTGGAAACATTGAAAAAAACAATTGAATTGTTTTTCTAAATTGACATAATTGTAACTTTGCCATATTTTGTTGTGAACATTTTTAATACTTATATTTGTTTGATATAAAATGATGAGGATGCCAGTGTATGAGACACTTTCAAATTGTATGTTATTGTCAGAAAAATCAAGATCTTTTCATAATTTCTTTATAGCGTATGTCCCCCTCTTTGTTCATTTTTAATATACAGATTATTTTTCCTATGTAGAAAGAAAAAGAAAGTAAAGAGAAAGAAGAATTCTAGTAATTCTTATCTTACACATTTTTTTTTTTGGAGTTCTCTGAATCTTACAAATCATAATAGAAATACTTTACTCCTCCCTTAAGGTCCAAATGTTTATTAAAATTTTTTATTTAATATATAACTTTTACAGGACGAGGACACACAAGAGAGACAGCCAAATCAATGGCGGAGACTCGCACCGCACCAACCACTGCAGTCCACATAGCAGATAAAAGTGGCATATGTGTAAATGTGACTGATTTGTGATGTTCAGTGAAATGTTTACGTCATATCACTTGGATTTATCCAGGTAGAAATACAAGGACTAGAAGTTTCAAAATTTCATTGGCCTTAATATGAATTGGCAAGTTTTTTATAAAAACCAAAGGGCTGTTTATGTAGTAGTGTCTACTGGCCAGTTTTATGCAATGTATTGTTAGGAAATTATTATGTTGCGTTGCCATTATTGTATTTTGATATTATAGTTTTGTTTCAAAATAAAAGCGCATTTATAATGTTCAATAAGTATCAAAACACATTAAAAATTAATATAATAATAGGAGGCGACCATTACACCTGTAAGTTTTACTTGCATATATAAGTTACATACATTACATAAGCATTATAAACTAATTGCAATTGATTTATGAATGTTATTTTTAACTAGTGTCATTTGCAAAATTACATTAGGCAAGTGAAACTTGAGGTGTGAAAAAAGCTACTTTCATACCATATAATGTATACATATACAGTATTATTGTTTTTTAATAAAATGAGAAAAATTGTATTACTCATCCTGATCCATTGACATATATATTGTACATTGTTCTAATAAGTGTATCTGATACAGTAGACACGAGTCAATGCTCTTTCAAAATAAAATCACATACTAATAATTTATTATTACAAGGACTTAGTTGCAATTTTTTTACTGCTATGTAAAATAAAGCTACTTTTATTAATAGATTTGTAATTTAAGGTTGTTTTAAATTATTGTTGTTGAGGATTTTGATTCCGTAAAGTTGTTTTAATATTATAGTTTTAAATTAATAGGTTAATCTCTATTTGTAGTCTCCTTTTTATAAAAAAAAAAAAAATGTACACATATAGTTTTTGTAAATGGGATTATTCAGAATTTTCCTAGTTACTGTTTGAGTCTTGTGTGCACTATGAAAAATCATAGATAAAGTATAGATAGTTTTTATCTATGGTAAATGAATGTGATGCTACAGATAAATTGACAATTTGTTGTTAATTTAAAATAATATTTGTTTCTAATGGAATCACAAGTATAGTTAACTTTACTGCCATTATAGTTATACTTTTTTTGAAAAGTTTTTTTAACACCAAATCACATTATGTTCATAATAAATAAGGAAAAAAAAATGTTTACAAGCAGTATAATTAAATAATATATGGGTCAGTACAGATCGTGAGTGTGACGGCGAATAGACTGAACTGTTAATGATTCGTCGTTTTTGAAGTTGTATTTAAGTCACTATTATTCTCATTTTCTCTTGTTTTTTTCCTTTATATTAATTTTAAATAGTTTTAAATTTTACCTGTTTATACACTATATCCCACTATACGTTTTCACGTGTTTATTTATGTAAAATAGTTAATATGTTAGCTCGATTTATGTTTTTTTTTTTGATATCTAAGAAAACACAATCACTGTCTGCCCCACTTGGAATATAGTCATGAGCATAATTAAGACCAAAGTATTATCAATTGGACGATGACTTAAGATATGAAGAAAAATCATGTAAATATTGGTGACTGTAATTACTACTGAGTAGAGTACTGTGGAACTTTTATATTGCAATTATGTAAGTACAAAATAAATATAACTGCACATAATGTGGTAGTTTTTTTTTTCATACAACTTAGAATGGCAAACAAGCTGACGGTCCACCTGATGGAAAGTGGTAACCGTCGCCCATAGACATGAGCAGTACCATGGACATAACAGAGTATACTGTTTCACCCACGATACCCCCCATGCGTTGCCATTCTTGAGGACTCAGGTGTTATTCCTCTGTACACTTAAATTCACGCCATACCCCATCCTTCAAACCGAAACACAGCCATGCAAATACAACTACTTCACGGTTGAAACACGAATGGGACAGAGGTACCCAAGCAATCGACTTTTATACAAAGTCTTTAAAGGATTGAATGAAACATGAATATTATACAAAACAAATATATTAAAAAGACATTATAAACAAATTCCAAAAAAGAATTATTCAGGTAGATTAGTTAACTTACAATGTAAGTGTTGGCATCGAATCTTATTGATGTCTATTGATTTATGTTTTTCTATACTTAGCACAATTAGTAAAATTCAGATAAAATACTATAAGTACCTAAAGCGTTTCCAATATCTTTATAATAAAAAATAATCGTGTAATTTCGTCGAAACTGATAATCTGTATAATATATAAATGAATCGCCGTTCTTTAGTCTCGCTAAAAGTAAGAAACGGCTTGACCGATTTCAATAGATATATATATTTTTTAATTTAATTCGTTGTAATACGGGTGGTAGTTTAAAAGAAAAAAAAAGTTTGACAGCCCCTACTGTTCAGCTGAAAAATAAAAAAATTAAATAATTGATTATTTATGAGAATTGCTACTTCGAAATAGTAATTTTAATAGTTGGCATTAAAGGTATGATTTTTTTTTTATACGACTTAGAAACGTGGAAATTTTTATACGACTTAGAAACGTGGAAAGTGGTCAGCTAGTTTGAAAATACAATCGGCAATAAGATTTTTAATTTTGCTATGTATTTGTTTATCTTAACAACTAGGCTTTATGCATTGTTAGACATATCAAAATTGTTTACTAATTGTGCCAAATAGGTATACAAAAACAAATCATTAATCGGTACGTCTCATCTATCCTTTCTAATCTACATTACATAATTTTACAAAACTACTCTCAGTAACATACTCGCACATTAAAGTACAAAATTCATTATTCAGTTGTTGATAATTTTTACCTAATTTTTAAGCAATTACAAAGAGGTCAATTCGCCTCAATTTTTTGTGGCATTATATTTTCTCTAAGCCTGAACCGATTTTGACAATACTTTTCCCGATTGATAGGGACTTCCATGTCCCTTACTATCCCGTAGGTGTCGTAAGAAGCGACTAAGGAATTTTAATAGGATGGGCAACAGCGTCCCTCTTAAAACAGCACCAAAGTCTAACTGCGGTTGCCAACCCGCTTACAAAGCGTGGCAACTATTGGCAAAATCCCCCTTTTATGGAGCAAATTTATGTCCAGCAGTGGACAGTTCACGGCTGATACAATACAATACTCCCATGTTGGCCTCATATTAATTTTTCACAAATGAAGTGGCCGTTTTGTAGATCATTCATTCATAAAAATTTTGTAAGAACACATTACATTTTGAATCAATTAATGAATAATCCCTTCATTAAAGACGTTTTCATTACATAATTTTAAAAGAGTATATATTTTTGTAACAATTTTGCTAATAAATACTAATAACAAGATGAGAGTACCGTCAAATCGTACATTATTACTATCTTACCTACTTCACTATCTTAATTCTAGTTTTCTCCGTACAAAATGAGCTAAAATTGCTGAAAAAATTACAGCTCCACATTATTTTAAACTGAAGTAATTCGAGAAAGAAATATGATTAAGTCTCCGATTATAAATTATATAATAAACATAATATGCTTTAATTAATAACAAATATAAACAATAGAAAAATAACAATAATATTAGCACATTTCTAAAAGTTATCAAAGTTTGATTCTCGTCTTTCAACTTTTAAATCTATTTAATTGCACTTCAGCTTAGAATTACTTGTACAGTTTATTTATTTAACATTATAAATATTTGCCTGGCAACTGGCATTGTACTGGTAAATAATATCGAAATTGTTTTTTTTCCATTTGTTCTAGAAAAAAAAAACCTAGTTACGATTTCACTTTGATTCGACACAAATGACAATTGAGCCTATGTATGGAGGCATAAAAGATACAAATGGAAAGTTACAGTGGAGTTTTTTTTGTTTTTATTCTTAGATATTGATTCTATGACTCTGGTCTTAAGGGATTTTTTCAAAATTCTACTGTGGAACTAAAAAAATGGTACTAGTGAACAGTAAGAATCTCAAGAAGGCTCAAGAAGAAACACATTGTGGTGTGGATTATTAGTATAGGGGACTAGCGGCCCCGTTCCTAATAATGAGGTCGATTCCGAGACGCCGTTTTTCTAAACTTGTCTCTTAATTAAAATTTCAATTTGATATCACGGCAAAATCTTTATTCCAAGGACCAGTATTAACTAAATTTCTAATAGATTTAATGGCTTGCATTAGATAGTATAAATTTGCCGTGTGGTCCACCCTTTTCTTTCTCGTGGGTGTCGACTAAGAAGTAATTAAAGGAATTTATTGGTCGACGGATAGACTAGCTTCCCCCTTAAAACATCACGAAAGCCTAATTACAGTTGCCAATCTGCTTGCCAAGCGTGGCAACTACCGGCAAAACCTACTAAGTGAGAAGTCTATGTTCATCAGTGGACAGTTAACAGTTGGTATGATGATGAAAATTGCAATAAATTTAGTTCACGATGATCCACAAAATAGGATTTTTAAAATTATCAAATTAAAGAGATAGATTTAGAAAAATGACTGATTTTTGTCTGAATCGACCCCAATATATTGTCAAGACGACCTTCATGCGACATGGAAAACATCGTCGTTAATTCTTATTGAATTCGTCATGATGGACCAACTAACCTGTTTTCCTCCCCACCTATCACTCATTACTGGTGCCCCGCTAGTATATACAGATAGCGTAGGCGGGTTTACCTTTCCACTGTCATCCATGAAAAGACTACGTAGGCTTGGCTTGGTCCCTAATGCGTTGAATCTCGTCCTTGATGGCAGATATGAGCGGCAATGCGGGATCTTCAGCTGGTAGGTGACCTTCGGCGCGGATCAAAGCGGTGTTCACGATCGGCGCTGGTGGCAGGCGAGACGTTAGGGACTGCGCAGTGTTTTCAAATATAATAATTTGCTACACGAATGTAAACGATGTATCCACGCGTACACACATACACACACGCACGCACGCACACACACACAAACGCGCGCGCGCACGCACGCACACGCACGCACGATCACACGCACATGCATGCACACACACGCAACTGTTTGCCAACTCAGTGGTATAAAACCAAAGCACCCATTGCGATATCCCCCATACTAGTCGGATATCTATATTTATTAGGAGCGGGTTCTACTTTTGAATATTATATGTATAGATATTGTAACTATAATATATAGATTTCTTTATACAACTTAGAATGGCAAACAAGCTAACGGCTCACCTGATGTAAAGTGGTAACCGTTGCCTATAGACATGAGCAGTACCATGGACATAATAGAGTATACTGTTTCGCCCATAATACTCCCCATGCGTTGCCATTCCTAAGGACTCAGGTGTTATTCCTCTGTACCCAGTAAATTCACGCCATATCCCACCCTTCAAACCGAGACACAGCCATGCAAACACAACTGCTTCACGGTTGAAACACGAATGGGACAGAGGTACCCAAGTAATCGACTTTTGTACAAAGTCTCCCTCTGGTGAAGGTAAAGATCCCTCTGGTATAGGTATAGATATTCTTATATATTACCCACTCTTAATAAGCAGTGTACATTTGTAAAATGCTTACATGGGGCGGAGTAGGTCCCCAAGCCCTGGCTGGTGGTGGCGCCTTCCTCTCGGTCGCCGGCCTCGTCTGCGACGTCCGTGGCCGGCTTTCAGAGGGGCCTGCTGTACCCGTCCCCGTATCTCTCCTATACAGTGGATAAGCAGTTATAATTATCACTAGCATTTACCTACGACTTCATCCATGTGACCGGGATAAAAAGTAGTCTATTATGTGGGAGCTTTATGAACGCAATAGAATACAAAACAATGATTTTTTGAATTTTTGTCTGTTTGTCTGTACGTTTGTGCACGCAAATGTCAAAAACGGCTTAACCAATTTGAATGCGGTTTTCACTAATGCGTTGCGGTTTGCTGTACTTAACATTTAGTGTTTCTTTCATTTCAATCAATTCATAAATAAAAAAGTTATATCAATTTAATAACTCACATATAAAATGGCATAAAATAACCGATAAATTGAATAGGAAAGCCAGGCCGCATCGCTTGTTTATAATGTAAGTAATTAAGTAAGGCTTTATAAATACAGATTATTCTAGGACGACATCGAAATCATCAGTTCTGAACGATACGAGTATGAATGATTTCTCCGAAAGAACATTAATATCTTACATGTGCGTATCTGCGGAGCGACCGCGTAGAGTGGCAAGCGCGGAGTATGGCGACCCCGGTAGCCGCACCATTTCGTTACGCGCCTGAGCTATCGGCGAACGGTCCTCCACGCCGCTTGGCCCTCTCTCTGTAATATTTTATTGACACTCAGCACCTTGTATGGTAGTGTTTGGGTTTATAGGATGGAATATGGCCGTGAAATTACAATGTACGGAGCCATATCATCATAGTCTTCAGGTATGGGAACACATGAGAAATACCATGGCTCCCATGGTACTGTTCATGCCATCTGATAGGAATCTGAAAAGGTGTGAAAGAGTTGTACCAAGTTTTTTCCGTCTCTCTATCGGTATCAACTGTGTGGTAAGATATTGGGCTGGATGCAGCTCTGTTGAAGATAGTGAAAGCATCATGCATATTCTTATTCCACTTGTATTTCTATCATCAAGCAGCCGTACTTGCGGCTTGTTTTTCGGTTTGAAAGATGGATAATATATTCTTGCATTACCTCCAATTTCTGGGGTGAAAGGGATTGTTAGTAATGGAGACTGAGAATCCCATTGCTAGCAATATACCTAACCAGGTCGACCTCCTCGCGGTTCTCCCTGGAAACCATCATGGTTAATCCCTGATGAATTCATCATGATGGGCTAACTGGCCTGTTTTCATTCTCATCTATCACCCTTCACTGGTGCTCCGCCAGCGTATCCCGTTAGCGCAAGCGGGGTTACCATACCATTTTTACCCATAAAAAAAAAACAATCTCGAAAGTCTCAGGAATAGCAATACATGTGGGGAATATGAATGTCTGTAATTGTGAAGGTCATGATGCTGTTTATACTTATGGGGAACAAGTATCACTTAAATTCTCACCCCATTTTAAATTATAATAAAAATAAAATATAATTTACATAAATATATATTTTCACCAGAGGGAGACTTTGTACAAAAGTCGATTGCTTGGGTACCTCTGTCCCATTCGTGTTTCAACCGTGAAGCAGTTGTGTTTGCATGGCTGTGTTTCGGTTTGAAGGGTGGGATATGGCGTGAATTTACTGGGTACAGAGGAATAACACCTGAGTCCTCAGGAATGGCAACGCATGAGGGGTATCATGGGCGAAACAGTATACTCTGTTATGTCCATCCATTGTACTGCTCATGTCTATAGGCGACGGTTACCATTTTACATCAGGTGGGTCGTCAGCTTATTTGCCATTCTAAGTTGTATAAAAAAATAGAAAATCAAATATAAAACACTTTTTTATACTGTGACGGGGATCTGGTTAAACGTGAAACATACCGGGTTTTTTGTCCCTGTCTCTTTCTGGATCGACTGTAAAAGTATGATGGGATTTGGGGCTGGAGGCAGCGCTGCCAAACAGCGTGAAGGCATCGTCCATAAGTTCGTTGAAACGGCGCCTCATGCGGCCAGCACCCGCCCTTCGACTGCTATCTTCGTGACTCACACCCGCCACTGACCGCGCAGGACTCGATGGTTTCGATGCTGGGAGTTTCGTCATTTAAATAAGAACCCATTAATGCCACTGTTAAACACGGGTCTCTCCCCATAAGATGGGGGTATATCTCCATCTTATAGGGAGAGGCTATAGCTAATATCATCACGTGGGATAACAAACACGACAGCAAACATTGATTTCTTTTAAATAGGATACATATTACATTGTAATAACATAGAAGTGTGAATTGATTCTTGCAGGGAATAAGTAAGAAATTTTTATGGTAGACCTAATATAATATTCCTGGGGGGAAAGGGATTGTTAGTAATGGAGACTGAGAATCCCATTGCTAGCAATAAACCCAACCAGGTCGACCTCCTCGCGGTTCCCCCTGGAAACTATCATGGTTAATTCCTGATGAATTCATCATGATGGGCTAACTGGCCTGTTTTCATTCTCATCTATCACCCTTCACTGGTGCTCCGCCAGCGTATCCCATTAGCGCAGGCGGGGTTACCATACCATTTTCACTCATCAAAAAAAAAAATTCCTATAACCTAACATATTAAAGTAAATCAGATTATCATAAACAAGAATAAAACTCACCATCTTTTATTCTTTGGCAGTGAAGATCCCAGACCAGTGGTCCGATGACACCAGGATCCTTATCAATACTCCCGAGCCTGACTAACTGCGAGGGCATTTGTCTCCGAGGCACTACATCCTTAGACTTGTCTTGACCTTTCTCCTTGGACTTGGGGCTGGTGACTGGAGAGTCTATATCTAGATGACGCACCGATACGGGCTCCAGAATTCTTGAGAGAGGTTCCACTATGTTCCCTCTAATTAAAAAAGTAAGTTTATTATGGTACTTAGAATGGCTAACAAACTGATGGTCCACTGATGGAAAGTGTTATAACCATCACCGGTTATCATCATAGACTTGAACGGCATTATGAATATTACAGAAAATATTTTAATACCCATGGTTAACCCCCCGCCTTTTTATTTCTGAGGATTTTAATCTCCTTACCTTACCATACCCTGCAATTTCTCTGCAATATTCTAAATTTTTGAGCAGTAAAGGAGAAAAATCATTGAAAGTTTCTGAACATTCAAAATTGGCTCAAATGTTCAGGGTTTTGTTATGCTTTGCTCTCAGAATTGGATTGCCTACTTTTTACTATCTCAGGATATGCTAGCATCAGGACTGACATAAGGATTAGCAGATCGGGCAATAGCTGTTTTGTGACATTTATTACCTTGGGAATGAATTGACGGAAGGCATGGAAAGATATGATGTGGGTGTGTGCGGTACAGAAGGCTGACCGCTATCTGAACTATCCACACCAGCTGCCTCTAGAAGACTGTCCGTCGTACCCACTGGAAATATTAAAGAATAAGAGCTTTAGAACACGACGTAAACGTAAATATAGGCTAAAATTCGGTTTGAAGACAATATAATTCCTAATGGTAGTTAGAGACGTTATGTGTGTGTGTGTGTTACATTGATGTAATGGTAAACGTAACACTCGTCATGCCCAGATTTTGCCGAATATATTAGATTGAGTGAATACCTCATTCAGTTTAATAAATTATTGAAAATATTGGGTAAAGAGATATAACAACCTGGTCTGGGGAGGGGGAAGGGATTGTTAGTAAGTCAGGTCGGCCTCCATGCGGTTCCCCTGGAAACCGTGACTATCGTGACTAATTTGTTGTTGAATTCGTCACGATGGGCTAACTGACCTGCCTTTTCATCCTCACCTATCATCTCTCACTGGTACCCCGCCAGTAGGGTTACCATGCCATTTTCAGCCATTAAAAAACAACCTGGTCTTCGAGAATGCAAGCCTATTCTATGATGTCCATGCTACTGTTCGTGGCTGTATTACCATGTATGTTTCATAAGGTAGGCTATCAGCTTGTTTATCATTGCAAGTTACATAAACAAATATATCTTTTGTAATTGTAGAATCTTATTTAGCGGTAACTCTAAATTTAGAATGTCGAATAGAGAATACATATTTGAAAAAAAATTTTTAATAATGATAATTAAATTTTTTTCACACCTCTCTTCTTCTGTGGCATCCTCAGGGCGTGAGGTTTCTTTTGTCGTCTTCGTAGTGCAGCGGCCATCTCTGATACGCCTGATGAACTTGTACTTGAAAGATTTTTTTTTTATTAGAATCTTTGAAATCTTTGAAAGAAAGAACTTGTACTTGAAAGAAACAATTATTTTTTATTAGAAATCTTTGAAAGAAAATGTAGAGATAAAAATATGTTCAATGATAGATGATGAAAGTAAGAGAGACTTCGTTGTGATTAAATAGGTTAAAATGAGCGTCCGAAATTGACGTGATATTTTTCTAGACATGGATGGGTTCGCACGAGCAAAGCTGTCTAATTTCGCATTCCTTTCTTATTTCATAAGAGATCCAGTTCATATTCAATAGCTTATTTCATTTAACGGTTTAACAAACAGTTATGGGATTAGATATACGTGTACTGCCTGGAGTGGAAAAGAACATTTTCTCCCAGTCAAACGAATAAGTGATGAAGTTGCGGGTAACAGCTAGGTGTTAATATAAGGACACTCGGTAGTCGTACAAACGGGAACCCGGGATCCAACATAAGCGCCTCGAGGCACGTCGTGTGGTTTTTAGTGGGTACGAATCCCACACACCCCAGCTGCCCTCCCTCCGGCAGATGGGACGGTTTTTCCGAAGATTTTCCACACGAAAAAAAAAAATAAGGTGTTAATATAAAGCAAATTTATGAAACTGCACAATTGAGTTTAACAGACTTTTATAAATTGTGCATTGTTTCCTTCAACTTGAGAGAATAGTTTTTGTCTCAATAAGATACTATCAAGTTAGGTAAAGTCAAGCACATATCCCGTAATAAAAAAGAAGTGGACTCGGTAGGTGGTGGGAGGGTCCAAAACCACATTAACCGCTCAGCAAATTATGGTATAAATACATTACCTGGAAGCACTAGCTGCTCTATAAATAGGCAATAGAGTACTGCTACTCGGTCTTGTTCTACTTGGAGATACTACGCTGATCAACTGGAACAAATATTATATTTATGTTTGAAAACACGGTTTTTTTTTAAGTCTGTTACGAGTTATACCTCAATATATACAAATAGAGCAACAGTTAAAATCTTAACCCCAAAAATGGAAGAAATTAAAGAAAATTACATAAGCCTCAATTTAAGTGAAGAAAATTAAGAAATTAAACTGATCATAATTAAGATAAAACTATATGGGCGTTAGTTAGTACTTTTTGCATCAGCTGGTCCACCTAATAGAAAACGTGTGTCGCTTATTTGCCATTCTAAATAAGTATAATAAAAAGTACAAGCTCTATTGGATGGAGGAAATCATATGAGGTTTCTATTCCGTTGGATCATTTCAGTTCTGGATATCTCATCAAAACTAGTGGAACAGCAGTTTTGAGTATTATTAGTCTTGAAATCCAAATCCATTGACCAATGCCAAATTAATAGGCAGTATTGTAATATAAACGTTGTGAAATTCTACAGACCCTGCCATCCTTTTCTTCGTGTACTTGCTTCAATTGGTTTCTCTCGGCTTCTCTTAACAGTTCGTTTCTGTATGCACGGAGTGATGCCGCTGATTTCATTGACTTTTTTCTGAAAACAAACAAACTTTTTGAATCACTAAAATATTCAATTATAAATGCAGTTGACAAATTCTTACTACCCATGTCATTATTTTATCTCGTATCATAATTAAGACCATCTTTTAAACTATGAAAAAATTACCTGTGAGCAAAACATAGTAGAACTATTATGACTAGCAATAGTAGCACCGCTATTGTGGCACCGATGGCCAGCGCCCAAAGCTCGGTACCGTGTACTCCTCCAGTACTGGCCTCGCCTTCAAGACCCTCGGCCGCCTTCAAGTACGCTGCTGGCAAAATTTATTGAAAAATTCTTATCTATATGAACTATATTACATAAACACGTATATATATTAATAAGAGACAAGTGCTCTTTGAATGACTGACACATATCGCCATACATAAGAAACAACTAAAGCTAGTAAACATGTTCATTCGCGTCATCCTCCGATACCACTCAACTAATTTTAATGACACTTTGTTAATGTATATTGTTTGCTACGAGAATTTGGATAGTTTTTATCACGATAAGAAAATATTACCCAAATTGGCAGCAAAAAAACATCTGCTGGGTGAGCTAGTCCATACATAAATTTCAAATTCCATCAAGTTCTAACAATCACTAACATCAATTTGAATTTTCAATTGTAAAATGTAATAAACATCTCTTAAAGTGTAAGATTTCTGTGAATATCCAGAAATCAAAGATTTGGAATCTTATTACAGTAAAGTGGGTATTTTAGAAAACTCACGTTCAGCCTTCGTTGTGACGACGGCACCCAACTCGTGTGCCACCTCAGCATCTCTAACCAGCCTCATATCTCTAGCAGCTACTGCCGCCGGCACCGCTCGACCACCCACCAACACCACGTATATTATTTGCACGCTCCCGGATTCTGCTGACTAAATAAACATTATAATATTTATTTGGCAGATCAGAGTATTACTCTGATCTGATATTCTAAAGTGACTAAATTATGCTTTCAATCATACACTTTGAAATTAATATCATCGGTGAGTATTACAATTTGAATCGAATTGGTATTATCGATTCAATAGCCCTATAAACTTTGCATTTACATCGTTGTTGCTATGGAGAGTTGGCAATCAAGTCGACCATCTATTATTTATTGCCGAACATAGACCTCCCCCATAAACTGCAGTGAAGAACGTTTCGAAGTCACGTCACGCGCTAAATTTGACTTGTTTTGTAAATTTTATTGTGGAGCGACTACCTTTTGCATCTCATTATTTCTAAAATATAGTCTCTACGCCATAGAGAGACTCATCTTTTGGGGATGGCTGTTAAACACCACTAAACATTATTTTACTTTATAGTGTGTTTGGTTTTATAGTTTGTTTAGGAAAGATCATAATATTTTCAAACGTACCTCAGTTATATTCTGGATATGCACTTGCACTGGGGGTTGTTGCTCGGGTTTTATAATCTCTCTCTTGAACAATGCTGTGCCATTACCATAATCCGCTTCTAATGGAATATCGATCATTTCCTCCTTATCATATTCCATTTCCTCTCGATCTGATACTTCCCTTTTTCGTACAACATTAGTCGGATTCACTAATATCCATGACTCCACTTCGTTTATTGTTGTAGCTCTTATTTCTGATCTCGATGATGCATTATGTACATTATTAGATGAAAATATCTCAACATTTTCTATATTTAATGGCAACATACTCGACGAACTTGATACTATATCAGATGAAGGCATAACTAAGCTTTCAGAGGCTATAGAGCTAATTGATTCCACAGAAACTACGGTACCATGTATATCGTAATATTTAAAAGGTGTTTCAGAACTAATGGAGTTTACTTGGTTATTATTATTGTCTTTATTTACTACGAACGAGTGAACATCATGTTTCTTCCTACCAGTTGGTGCGTCTAATGATTTGATGATGCCCAGGTGTCGTTCTTGTTGTCTGAAATCGAGTTGATGTATTAAAAAAATTTGATGATTTGAAAGAAAAGAATATCTGAAGAAGTTATTAAATATCAGGATATTCAGGAAATATCGCATATAATGTTTAATTATCACAAGTGGCAACTTAAAATAGTGCCATATACTGTACAGTTTATTTACTATATCGTGTAAAGTTTACTGTATTATTTATTACAATTGTTGATAGATATATTTTTTTATTTGGATGATCAGATTATTCATTGTTACTATAAGCTAGATAAAAACAATATAAGGTGTTAACAGTTACCTCAAAAATGCTTTCTGATATAGTCTTGCGAGCTTTAATTGCAAGCTGTCAGGTGTGGACCCTTGGATGACAGTGAGGAGCCAATAGCGGCGGTCTTCAGGAATCTCTGGCTCCAAACTGTCAGGAACAGCATCTCCACAGTTCAGTACGCATTCCCCAGTGGTCTTGTCAGTCACCGCCTTTAAAATTAACACTTTTATATATTGTGATACAATGTATTCTGCAGTATCCGTGCTATTGTTCATATCTATAGGAAACAGTTATTCGTTCCGTTAGTTATTAGTAACGATATATTTGTGTGTCACCTAATTTGTCGTCAAAAAAATTGTTTACATAGTCTATTTCGATTTGTAAGGTCAGTTTGAACTTACATTCAAAATTTTTCAAGTTAAAAGGATGCCCAACACACGTGTCATGTCAGGTCAGAGTAGAATAGTCAATGAAATCATGTGACTCTCGAACAAGAAGAATTAGCTTCGGTCTCAGGGGGTACAAGGGGGGCATAATATATTTTGTTTTCATGGTGTTCATGTAAACGGTAGGGCATCAGCGTATTTACCACGTTAAAAAAGGTTAACATTATTGTTATGTCAAGTGAAAATTACAGTTATTGAAATGTACCTAACTACAACGCTTATTCAATACAGTTTTTTCAATAGATTGCTCGAATTCATTATCGACATTTTATGAAAAGAAACGATCCAGGTCAATGTCACTATGTATTATGTGGGTATAAGATACCTACGCCTGCGACCCAAATTGGGATCATAGTTTGTATAAAGCGACTCATTATACCTATATAATATTACGAATAAATAAATAAATTGAAGTTGAAGTTGTTATATAAAAGACATATGTTTTTATAAATTATATTTTACAAATATTGGCACCATTATCCCCCTTATTATTATTTTAGATTTTATTATTGTAGAAGTGTAGATGTGGGCTTGATGATATTTATATATATAGATAGATTCAGAAGAAGTGAAAGAAAGAAAGATTTAGTACAAGACTGTATAATGAATAATATTTACAGTAAATAATTCTAGATATAATAAGTCGCGATACAAAATATTGTTCCGTAAAATTGCTAAGACAAGAAGATTGTCAAGAACGTCACTGTTTATTTTTCTGCAACTACGTAGGTTTAAAAGAGGTTGGTAGCCTACATTTTGTTTATACTACAGTATAAAGAACAGTTCTTTAAACTGTATATTTTAAACCAAAAATTCATTTTGACATCAATAGGCAAATTTTACCATTTTCCATTAGATGGGTTCTTAGCTTGTTTACATTTCTAAATTACTTAAAAAAACACTATAAGTTAGCTCAGAATCATTTAAACTTGTTAAAGGTGCCAGTGGCTTAATTTTTCGCAACTTCAAAAAAAAATTTTTTTTGTGTAACAATAGTAAACTCTGAGCTAACAGCTAACTTATACATTTCGGTACAGTAGATATTCATAAAACAGCCCTGAATTTGCTCTGTAGAGACAGATTCAGATTCAGAAGTGGACCTAGATTCTTCTTTTACATCTTATTTACATACCTGTGGCGGGAACGAATCCAGATACACTGTGGCGAGTACAGTGGTTGTCCGAATAAGTGGCGTGGCGGGTTGTGATGGTGTTGGCAATGGGAGATCCGGCGGTGCTGGCGGGCCATCCCCTGAGCCCGTCCAGAAAAAATCTTCGAGACGTGGCGTCTTTTCATGTTGATCCGGTGACACGAACATGTAAACTAATACAAGTTCTTTCATTTTTTGCTTTCTTTTTTACATAACGTAGAATGGCGAAGAAACTGAAGGTCTCATCATCATCATCATCTCAGCCATTATTTGTCCATTGTTGAACATAAGCCTTCCCCGTCAACATTGAAGTTGCCGTTTTTCGGAGCCAAAAAACTATTTTTTGCGATGCAAATATATTTTCTGTTTTCAAATATTTATAATTTTATCAAATATTTAGAATTATTAATGAGACATCTCATCTTACCACTATAATTTTTTATACAATATAATTGAATACGGTTTAATTTAAAAATTGGTGTACATTTTATCGTTATACACCATATTCATTGATTTTCTTCTTCTGAAATACACGTGTACAAAGTGTCTAGCAAAAACTAGTAATTCATAAATATGTCTTGTCATGTTCGATATAGCTGTTTAGTTAGCAAAGTGTACTTATATAGATAACTAGCTGATGCCCGCAACTTTGTCCGCGTGGTATTTGTTATTCCTGTTTAATATGAACCGATGTATGTACCTACATATTTATTTTGTCTGGGAATAGTGGACCAAAATTAATGAATGACATATCGTTCTCACTCTTTGCCTTAGGTCAAAATTACTTTACTTAAGTAGATTGTGTATTAAGCTGTATAAGTTACTGTAGTTTTTTATCTATCCCACGGGAACTCTTTATTTTCCGTGATTAAAAGTATCTACAATGTTAATCGGGGATGTAAGGTATCACCACGCAAAAATTCATTTAAGTCGGTCCAACAGTTTCGGTGATTAGCCCGTACAAACAGACATAAAAATAAAAATTAGAAAAAATCTGAATGTGTTCTATTTCACTTCTAACATTTCCCTATCTCGGTTTTTAGCGTTTTTTTTCTATGTACATACATTCAACGTCTACAGTTTTATTATATATATAGATAATTATCTGTAAAAAATGTAAATATATATGTCAGTTTATTCAACTTTAATAGTATATTCTGAGTGAAACGAAAAAATATACTACAATTTCAGAACAACGTGCAATATTTATTGCAAAATACTTCCATATTTGAGTAATAAAGTGTACAGCAACTGTGACGGGTCGACGTTGCAGGGGTTCCGTACATCGTCGCGTGTTATCGGGAACTAAAGTTTATTGGCCCTACCTGCAAGTTTGGGTAACTTGACTCATGATTTAGTAGCATGTAGCAACTTGAAGAAAAAAGAAACTCGGCGATTGGTATCTCGTATGGACGTATGTGGTTTTAGATTAAAACATGATTCCATAATGTACATATTTTTTTTTTTTACAACACAGGGGGCAAACGAGCATGCGGCTCACCTGATGGTAAGTGACTACCGCCGCCCATGATCACCCACAACACCAGCGGCATTGCAGGTGTGCTGCCGGCCTTTTAAAAAGGAATATACTCTTTTCTTGAAGGTTATGTTGTCGTATCGGTTCGGAAATACTGCTGCTGGAAGTTGATTCCAAAGAATGATTGTGCGTGGAAGAAAGTGCCTTGAAAAACGTAAAATATATGTGCACTAGTTCAGACAGAGGTCGTCCTACTCAAATTCCTTAATGTTTGTAAGGTATTTAGATCTTACAAAGATTGTAATTGCTAGCGATTCTAAGTGATGTGCGAACGAACAGCATTAGAACTTTATTTAAAGACTAGCTTATGCTCCTAACTTCGTATTCGTGGGTTTTGATAGGCCACATCTGTATATTTTTTTTTATTTATGTGTATCTAGAAAAACATGTCGCGTGGTCCCGGCATAGAATGGGCTACCCCTTCCTTTCCCTTGGGTGTCGTAAGAGCCGGCTAAGAGAACTTAATGGTCAAGGAATACAACGTTCCTCTTAAAGCATCATCGAAGCCTGACTGTGGTTACCAAACCTCGTGTCATGCGATCTTTTATGTTTTAAATTTGTTAAAATTCTTGAGAAAACTATTTGATTTTTATGTATGCGTATTTAGACTGAAAATATTTCTCTAATATGAAAATAATACCTACTATTCAATAAAAACATAGCTCCGCCTTATTCTTATGAATTAAAGTTCATTTTCCACGAGGCCTAGCCTGCACCAATCCGTACCATTCGCCGCGCTTTGTACGGTGGGAAACGCATTTCCTCAAATGTTGTTACAAGCAAGCATTTATTACACTTATGTATCGCTATGTTTTTACTTAGGTATCTATACTATTACTGCTAATCTTAGACTATATAGATAGAGCATCGAGCCTCAAATACAGGTCAACTTTTTGTCAGCTAATTGTCTAATTAGCTGACTCGTTGTTTTTATCAGTATTCTATATATTTACGCATAAAATCTATCTTGATGTATTATTTAATAAATAAAATGAGTGTTACACGTTATCACGCAAATATGTATGAATAAGTTGACCCGTTTTTCTCGCAGCATTTCTATGGAGACACTATCTATATAATCTTAGCTGCTAATATAGTATTATATTATTTGTGATATTAGTATTTACACTGTTATATCTATATACCGTGTGGTCTCGATATAGAATGGGCCACCCTTTCCTTTCCCGTGGGTGTCGTAAGAGGCGACTTAATGGTCGAGGGAAAGGCAGCAGCGTCCCCCCTAAAACATCATCAAAGTCTAATTGCGGTTGCTAATTCGCTTTCCAAGCATGACAACTATTGGGAAAACCCTCCAAAAGAGAGTTTTATGTTCAAGAGTAGACAGTTAACGGCTGATATGATGGTGATTATGATCTATACTATAATGCCTAAACTTACATTTGAGAAAACTAAACCAACCGACATACAGCAAACTTTTTAACCGAAAAAAGGTTAGAATTCTCATTCATTTATAAGATGCTCCGAATCATTCACCAAAATCGGATTAATATGATTTAGAATGGCATTTTTTTTAAGAGCATAATACATGAAATATTTGAGACTATAAGCAAGGGGTTGAATATTCTAAATTCCTTAATTATTGTTCACCTACGCTTTATTAAGAAGCTATCTGCAAAGTTTCAAGATTTTAAATTCAGTTGTTTCGGCTTTGCGTTGTTGTATGACTCGGTCAGTCAATCACATAGCATCCTCTTTTATACAATTATAGGTTTTTAGAACTTTTCGAATGTTTTTTTTTATACCACTGAGGTGGCAAACAAGCATACGGCCCACCTGATGGTAAGTGTTAATAAGTAGTATATAGTACCTACTAATTGATCCGATAAATGTTATTTTACTCCCTAACACCACATAAAACCAATTTTTCTTGCACACATTTAAAAAATTTAATTAATAGCAATTGAGTAAAGGCTATTATAGATTATTAGAATTTGTCTTGTGATTCTGATACCAAAGCATTTATCCGATTATAAACATATTTTTTGCAATATGTAAGTATGTAGATATTTGAATTATTTACTTGGCAATTTTATTTACGAAAAAGGTGAGTAAATATGTCAAATCGGAAAAGGCGCGACGCACAGGATGGCACCGACATTATGGGTCATGTCACATTAGTTTTATGGCATCGCAGCATGACAGGTTGTAAATAACGTCACTGGATACTTTGTCCAATTTCAGCCCAATGATTATTTGATCAATACGTGGGTTGGGAGGTGCCTTATGTTCTTGATGCATATTTATCTTTGAAGTCTTTTCTTCTTTTCTTTCTAAAGAGAAATGCAGGAATTATTGTGCAATAATAGTTAATTGATAGCAGCTTATTTAGCCGATGGCCCTAAAAATCGTATTAAAAAAGTACTCGGTCACCCAGAATACCCTTCATATGTTGCCGTTCCTGACAATTAAGATATTATTCTACTGCATCATATAATTTCTCTGACATATTGAGAAGAGCGTGTGGTCACTGCATAGAAGAGGTCACACCTTCCTTTCACGTGGGTGTCGTAAGAAGCGATTAAGGGAGAACAAGGGATGGGCAGCAGCATCTCTCTTAAAACATCTCCAAAGCCTAACTGCGGTTGCCAATCCGCCTGCCAAGCGTGATAACTACTAGCAAAATCCCTCTAGGGGGAGGCTTATGTTCAGCAGAAGACAGTTAAAACCTGGTATGATGATGATGATGATGATTGAGAAGGGTGAATCCTCAAACCAGAATACAGTCATGCAAGAACCGATGCTTGGGAACAGGAACACGTGTGAGTGTTCATTTGGTCTTACCAGAAAAGGTACTGACAACCAAATCTCATACTAACAACAAAAACTAGGTTTACGTTATTGTAAAATAAATGTGGAGCATATAGGTACGCCTACTAGGTTGATGGTAACAAACAAAATGCCATATAATAGCGTTGTAATGGAGACTGTTTCACGCGGTCAGCGCGCGCATCCTTTTGTGCGGACACCGGACGTGCACGAACCGGAGCGGCGCACGCGCACCCGACCGCGGTGACCCTTGCTTTTGATTAATATAATCGTTACGATCTCGTCGTGCTCAGCGGAGATGACGTGTGACCAGATGATGAACATGTTACAAGTACTCTGCAATTCTCTAAAACATCGTATATATTATAGATTTCTATTGAAACTTTCAAGTATTAATAAAAACGCAAACAACGATAAGAAAATGTCACCCTGTACTAAAGTCGTCTGCCTGGGTACATTTGTCCCACTTATATGTTTGAAGACAAGCGATTGTGCTTGTACGATCTGTCTCGATTTAATGTTTAGGATATAACATACGAAGAGTACTAACTAATAGTACATTATTAAACCCTCCATTTCGGTATGGGAGAGATGCTATGCCCAGTTGTTGGTAAAGTTAGGAAAATAGTTATATTACGATGATATTACGACCTACAAAATAGAAAACGGAATCCATAAAAAGTGTGGATCCTCACTTGTCTTGTCTCGTCCTTCTTCATTCCATATACCTAATATACCGTGTATACTACCGGGGGGATAGGAATTGTTAGTAATGGGGTCAAATAGCCCCATTACTAGCATCATACCCTATCAACTAGACTTCCACGTGGTTCTCTTTAGAAACCATCGTGTTTAATTCTAGTTGAATTTGTCAGGATGGGCTAACTAACCTGCTTACATCCTCATCAGTCATCTCTCACTGGTGGCCCTATACTATTATCACCCATTAAAAAAAATACGTGTATACTAAATTTCATAGTGACTGATTAACCCGTTAAAACGTAACATACAAACAAACTTGCTTTCATATTTATAATATTAGTAAAGATAATAAAAACAATTGGTCAAATCAATTTTTTTGTGCAACCGATTCGCATGGATTGCTAATTGTTGAATAGCTCAAGTACAATATTAAGCAGTTGTTTCCGAAATATAATTAGGCACTTTTTCAAAATGCAATTAAACCTAAACATTGTAATTGGAGTATAAGTATGTTGATTTATATGTTTTAATAAATTAATATTAAATATATTCCCATATCGAACAACCGATGGGAAAAAAAATTTTTTGAGTGGTAAACCCGTACAAGTAAACGCAGGGTAGGACGACCCCTCACTAGATGGAGTGACATCCTCAAATGTATTGAAGGGAGTCAGTTGATGTAGATGGCATAGGACCGTTCCTTATGGCAGTCTATGGGGGAGACCTATGTCCAGCAGTGGACGGATAATGGCTGAAATGATGAGGATGATGTTCTCATAGTACCAACATAGATGTATCTACGTGAATTATAGGTAACAAAACGTAACATATTGGCGTCGTATCTTCAAACTATCTCTAGAATTAAATAAAAATTTTAATTTAATATCACATAAATCTATTAACTAACTATACGATCAATATGCATTTTTAGTAGGTTTAAGTCAAAATTATAGACATAAGTTTACAGAAATGACGCTCCAGAATTTGCTTAATCTTTTAGTCCAGAAAACGGCGGTATAACATTTTTACTGACTGCTTTTGTTGTGGTGAATAAAAAAAAAACAGTTGGTTTGTCGTAAATTCACGAGTGTATACTTATGACAGTGGGCGAACTTACCACCGAGATTTATTAGGGTGTTATCGTCACTGGAAAGTTAGTTAACTCAATAAATTGATACAATCTGAACATTGGCCCATCAGAATCAAAATTACCATGTGATATTTAAATAGTTAAAATAGTAGACACAAACTCCAGATAGAAATGTTCAGATAAGATGTTTAATTAGTGCAAATAAAATAAATAAATATAGAATTGTTATTAACATGTGCTGACTGACACTATTTTGTGCTGTAATGTGCTGTTATATTACTTTTGTTTGTTAACCTACGAATAATGCTGACTTACGTTTATCATCGCTGTCATATTCTTCGGCAAAAATATATTTAATAATACAAGTTCCTAATATGTTTAACAAAAACGTTGGTTTGTACATGTTGTTTCAATTTAATTATTAAAAAATTAGACACCAATAATTTTATTTATTTTATTTATATTCGATAGAATTTTTTTTATTTAAATTAGGTGCGTCCGAAAATCCACATCGTGCTTGCACATATTCGCATTGAGTTATGTTCTACACAATGCCAGATGTATTATTTGTTCACTCATTAGAAAATGTTATTCATTGCAGCACCAACTAACGACCAAAATCGCCAAAATACTACTGTGCGTGCGTGCTTTGGGATTGTTACAGCGTTGCTATGCGACAGATAAAATCAAAATAACGCGCGCATTCGCGTTAGTCGCGCCATAAACAAGACTCAGTGACATTTGATTGCACGTACATGTTTGTCTATAATAATTGCATGTATGAAAATTAAAATTTATCCTTTACTTTGAATGATTTTAATACCGTTGTTTCCTTTTCTTTAATTTTTATTTATACACATTTAAAGTTTGAAGATAAAATAATATGAAATTGTCTATGACAGCCAACTATCTTTGATTGCTACGTGTAGGTAGGATCTACTATTATAGTAGATTAAAAAATACCGCTGTTATAATTGTTATTAAGATTCTACAAATAAACATTTATTAAAAAAATTTAAAAATTAGAATGAGTTTATAGTTAACTGCTTTTTTCCCAATTGAATCATTCCTTAAAGTTATGTGGAATATATTAACATTTAATGTGTTAACAAAACTATGTATGTAACATTTAAAATTAAATATAAAGTAATTCCGACTCAATTTGATACAAATTTTGTTTACAGTTGACCTTAGAATAATAATTTTGTTGTGATGACTATTTTAAATTTTAATTTTATATATAAAATATGATACTTCAAATCAACTGCAAAAGTTTTGAATATTAAGACAACAAAACAAATGTATTTAGTAATTTTACATTTTCTTCAAGTCATTTTAAACAAAAAGATGATAAATATGTCTTACTAAAGGAAATACTAAATAAGAGATATTTTGAAACCATCTTATATAATAATTAATTAATTTAAAATAAATACACTATTATTTTTTATAACATTTTGAAAATTTAACAGTTTGTGCAGGATATAAATTACAAATATTTATTTGTTGCTCAATTTCATTCGGATTGTAATTAATGGTAAAATAATTATTCTCTCTGATTAGAAGTCAGTTTTTTGAAAAATAAATTTTGAGGTAATTAAAGTACTACTTACGACTTTATTTATGAAAAATCAAATTAAAATATATTGTCTATCTTAATATAAGATGCTACCAAATTATCTGCGTTCAATATATACGTTACGATAATGATGGAATTTTGTGACTCAAATATAATAAAATTTTTCATACAGGGATGAAATAGGAGATGAAAGTTTGTATGAAATTTATGTTATAATTGAAAATAAAATTTTGAAATTTTACCACTTAACAAAGTTAAATGGGGTGAAAATTTGTATAGTAATTCTATTATTTTTGAAGTTAGAAACATGAAAGTTTGTTTTAAGGCTTTTGATAAAAAATAAGTTCTTATTCTGTAGTTTTTGAAAATTTTACTCCTAAAAGAGAGACTGATAGGGGATGATTTGATTTAGATAAAAATTCGTATGTAACGTAAAAAAGTTTTATACATTTATTTATTTAAATTAGGAAGGCGAAATTTTATTATACATATTATTTTATTTAGTCTTCCACAAAAAATAAAGTCTTTTATAATATTTATAAAACACAATATCATATACGAGTGAAGCCGCAGGCAAACGCTAGTTGTATTATCAATTTAGATACTATTCATGGAATAACAATTCAATGTGGACGAGATAATAAGCTCATTTTGAAATATACTTAAAATTTGGTAGAAAATATAACTGTTTTTGATGGCAATACCTATATTTTACGTCGTAGCTTTTTGTAGAATTTCATTCGTTGGAGTTCGTCGCTTCCGTTTGACGGACTTGTGCGACGTAATCGGGTGTGTGCGAAAGTATGAAGTGAAATCGTACAAAAAGTGTGTGAAATGTTTAGTGGTAGTTTGTATAGTGTTGAGATTTCAAAATGAGTGCGAACGGATAGTTGTGTTTTCTTTTTTGGTCTATGAAACACTGTGTGATTGCTGTACACGTAACAATTTCAGATGAACTGTTTCAAAATGGCTGTGTTTTGAAGGACCCTTTGTCCGCTTTCGTGTGCTTCTTTCAGCATGATAGTGGGATCGTACTGTCACAATTTTGACTTCGAGAGGTGAGGAAGGTCCTTGATAAGATTTAGTGGCTTTGGTGTAGCGACGCGGAGTGGAAAATTACTGGTTCCCGCCGAAGTGCGGTGTCGGTCGATTGCTTTCTACGCAAGCGATACGAAACGCTCACTTGCGACGTGTGAGTTTCTAATAACCTTTTTATTTTCTTGAGTAAACTAACATTGTGGCCGGTGGCACGTACGTGGGTCGCTTACGATATGTTCTGATATAATTTTAGCTTGGTGTTGATTTCCTGCCGTTCCCGACCGAGTGTCGAGACGAGGTAAACACGGCATATTATTTTTAGTGCGTGTCTTATATTTCCTATAAGAATCTTATTAATTCTTACCTGCGTATTTATCCAATTGCCACATTGACAACAGGGAAAACCCAAATATTTAATCTATGATAAAATTATCTGGTTTGGTTATAAAGTTATCTATGTATAGATCATGTAAGTACTTGAATAAACAATATACATTTTCAGACTTGGTTTATTATTTTTATCATATTCATTAAATACTTGGGTTTAGTTTAGCTCAATGTGGTGCAACAAATAAACAATAAAACCATATTAACAAATTCATCAAATATTTGTAATATGAAAGTGATAAGTTATGCCTGTAATCCATCCAGGGGAATGAATCTTTTTTTCTGTCACCACTGAAAAAGAAATTATATTTCTACCTATGGGTTTATAAAGTAATGTATGTGATACATTATGATTACCAAGTATTTACCTATTGTATAATTATTTTGTTTGAATTGACTCTAGTTATATTTTTGAAATGAAATTTATTTGCTAGAAACATTGTAGAAAAGGTGTTGCATTTGTGAAGTTTATAAGATGTCCATTATGTTTCGCCACATCAAATGGCATGCAAATATTAATTATTGAATTTATCCATATATATATAAACCAAGTTCTTCAAGTTACTTAAAAGTATTTATTTCTTTCTAATTTTTTTAATGTTAATTTATTTAGTTAGTTGAGAGTCATCATTGGTTACAAAAGTCAATCTGGAATTGGAAATGATAATTTTTTTGTTGTGTCAACAATGTTGATACACCAAATTTGTTTCTTTGTTTGTGGGATATTTGTAATAAAAATAAATACCAGGAGGATGAACTTGTCATCAATTATTGATGATGAGTCCAGCTATAGACTTCTACAGACTATATAAAAAAGTATAAACATTAATAGTGAACCATTAATAAATGAAGAAAATTATGTATATATATAAACTTGTGAAACAGTTTGTAAAAGCTTTAAATAAGAATTGTGATTGTTTTCAATATATTTATTTCTAATCACTATATCGTCATAGTCGAAGAATACTGACGGATCTTTATATGTAATCTTTGTCAGATCCATCAGTATTCTACAACTATGACGATATTATTCCTAAATAGTTAAGAGAATGTTTCACTTTATTGATAAACTGGGAGTTAATATGAGTATTAAATTATATTACTTGTATAGCAATTTAAATCATGTGAGATTGGCATATAATAACAAGCTATTACTGGACCTTAATATGAGACAGTCCTGGCCATAAACATATTCTCTAACTTATTTTGGTATATTTTTAAATTTCATAATAATTTAATTATGTTTTCGATAATATCCCATATAGTTTTAGTTTGAAATTACTTAAACATTTAAAATATTATATTTTAAATCATATATTTTTATTTTCTTTCATTTTCAGTATGAATGGATATATTTTATCTTAAAAAGATTGATTTGAGAATTATATATTATTATTTTCTTATTCAGTTGCTTAAAATTACTTAAATTTGACTAAGGTATACTAAATCGCAGAATCAATCTTCCCCTGTGTAATGTATGGTTATGTTGTTTGTTATTTTAAATACATAATTAAGTTTATACCTTTAACAGTCACACTGACTAATTTAAATAAAAACAAGTTTTATCCTTCAGAGAATTAATGAAATTACCTGCAAAATAATGGCTGTAATTGGTTACTACAGGAAACATAGTTATTATGTACTTTATACAATAATATTTTAATGTTTAAACATCTGCAATAAACTATTATCATAGTATTAAATTGCATTATTTACTTAATTTTTACTACTATTATAAATTTGAAAGTGAGTTTTTCTGTTTGTTACCTATTAAGGGCTTAATGACTTTATTAATTGTTATTAAATTTAGCATATATGTGCTATGCTCCATCCTATAAGATGGAGAAGACTATTTTTATTCCAGTCAATGTACATGTTCATGTAGATAAAGTAGGGAGTAAAATCTAGTATTAAATATTGATAAAATTAAATCTGCCTAAAATAGAACCAAAATCCTATAGATTGTGGAAAGAATTATCAAATTTGTTTCAGAATTGATGAAGATATTATGTAAACTATATTTAATAATAAATGTGTGTCTCTTTTTGGAGTTGCTTGATATAATACACAAGCAATTTGACCCAGTTTTGCATGGACTTTGATAGAATTGTTATATGTTACTTATCAACAATATAAATTTTTATAAGTTAAATAATTTTTAAAAACTTTAGAGTACTTTTTATTTTTTTTCCGTTACAATTATTCAGTAAATTTTTTCCTCATTATAATATAAGTATAGATGATATATAGAAAGATTCTAATGTCAAAGTATTGACTGCTCATGTAATCCTGGAATGTGTAGCTGTGACTCCTTGTTCAGAAATCCTTGAAACGGTAAAGTTGTTCCATAAGGCCTGTAAAGGTATGAGGAAGCTTCTGTGATTCTGGGTGGAGCTTGGCTGGCTGTACTAATTACGACTCACACATACAACGGCCCAAATAGGAGGCTTATTCTATTCTCATTATATTTAGTATTTTTTTTTTAATACAATTTAGAATGGCAAACAAGCAAACGGCCCACCTGATGGAAAGTGGTAACCATCGCCTATAGACATGAGCAGTACCATGGACATAACAGAGTATACTATTTCGCCCATGATACCCCCCATGCATTTCTGAGGACTCAGGTGTTATTCCTCTGTGCCCAGTAAATTCACGCCATATCCCATCCTTCAAACCGAAACGCAGCCATGCAAACACAACTACTTCACGGTAGAAACACGAATGGGACAGAGGTACCCAAGCAGTCGACTTTTGTACAAAGTCTCCCTCTGGTGAAAAATTTTGTATATATCTATGTATTATAATTTACACTAGGTAAACAGTACTTATCTACTGTTTACCTAGTTGTGTCAATAAGGTAAAAATTATTGATATTAAGGTATTTTGCGATTATAGTGTTTATAGGAGAGGACAATAGGTGGTTCTTTTGTACGGATTTATTTCAAATTTATTTTAATTACAATATTTATATACTGGTCCAATAATGAATATGTTATAAGTCTGTTAACCAAAAAATTATATTGGATAACAGACTTAACCTATTCAAAAATAGATATTCAACTGGTATGGGCGAATTGGAAATTGATGATGACCTTTTTCCTGCCATTAATTTTTTGAGGAACTTAATATATAGATATTGAATCAATTTCCATATTACCCATGCCTAACTTACTCCTTACTTTTCTGGAAAGAAAAGCTTAAAAAAAAAATAATATAATATACATAAGAATAAAATTAAAAAATGTGGTTTGTTGTCGCTTTTTTCATAGTATTTTAATAGGGTACTTAATAAAAAGCTTCTTTTAATTTTTAGAACAAATAAAATATCATATAAATAATTTTGTAAGAGTTAGTAAAAGGATAAGCAAGCCGAAGTGGCAAGGTTTTTGAGTGGCGACCCTGTATGGGCAAATGCAGTGCAGGAGACCCTCTCTACTAGATGGAGTAACAATATCAAATGCATTGCAGGAAGCTAGTAGATGCAGGTGGCTCATAACTGTTCCTTATTGATGTCTGTGGGGGAGGCCTATGTTTAACAGTGGACGATGATTTGATTTCCACTATAAAAATGATTTTTGTAATCCAATGGAATGTTTATTGAATTATCTTTCATTATTTATCATCAAGTAGATAATTACATCAATTTTTGCTCAATGTTGTACTAACTATGGTTATTATGTTTTGTATCATAGGTACAAAAGCGGCACAATGAAACTACTTAAACACCTAATTAACTACATTGTTAGATTTGGCATTGGCATGAAACATTGTATCCAAATTAAGTTCCAATTTCATGGTGCTCAATTTAATTACCCTATATTAATTACAATGGCGATGCTAAATAATTCAGTATCTCTATATCTGTATACATAATCTGCATGATTAACGGCTTCTAACCATGATTATTTATTTCGAATGTGCTGATATATTATTGACTTTTATTAAAATAATGTTGCAATTGTAAATGCCTTGGCCAATTTTTTTTTTATATTAAGGATTCAAGTGTTACTTCTGTTGTCAGAGGTACAAAAATTTTAAACAATAACATTGATAATGTATTAAATTTAAATAAACATTTCTTTTTTGAACATTTCAATATTCAGTCGGAAAAAGCGACGTGCCAATTAGCTGATCGTTTTTCCAGTGATTATTGATAGAGCCTTATCAATATGTCCTAAAGAAAGGTAGTGTTTTTTTGGTAGATATTTCACTAGAATTCTTAATTTTTCGCCATTTTTAAGTTGGTTGACTAATCTCAAACATGTCAAAATGATATATTTTGCTATATAAATTTTTTATAGGTTTCGTTTCAAAATTAATATATTTTTAAAAATGCATAAATTTCAAAACAACATAGGCTGTTTATGTTTAGGCATTTTGTATAGCAACCCTATCGTTTTCTAGTCTGATATCTTTCAGTACAAATTCATTCCGTTACCACGGACCTTTTTGAAATGTTTATTTAAATATAAAGTTAAATAAAATTAAGTTTGAACTAAAATCGCTGCACTCAGTTATAAAGGTCGCAGAGCCGATCCGGCTGCGATCGTGAAATGTCGCCAGCACCGTTAAGTAGCGTGATAGTTGCACGAAAACCGAAACGGGCACCTAACGGCAACGATAGCATTGTGCCGCCAACAGCCTACACTCTGCCATTGTTGCTAAAATGATACCTTTTTAATGCGGCTCCTAAAAGGAGGTTGTCAATTCGCCTGACTTTTTTGTGGCTAGATTACACAATTATGTCGCCAGTTCTGAACAGAT